ATGTGGATCAATTGATTCAGGTTGTCTTGGGAGTCTTGGAGAGATGAAGTTCGGTGGGAAGCCGACAAGGAAGGGGTAATTATTAAGAAGCGGGTTAGGCTGGGGGCGGTGGCTGATCCTACCAATTCGTGCCCTAACCTTTCCTGTTCGGATCCTTGCTGAGCCTCGCGGTTTGGCCCCAACATTGAAACATAATAGCCCCCAAACGTTCGGCATTGTAAGGGTCAAGAGCCATATACGGACAGATGAGGAAGAACGTGATGTCGCCAGCGTAGGATAAATACCTGCTTGGTCCCTGTCTGTATTTGCTGTCACCATCACACAACCAACTCTTTTACAATCATTTAAATTCTTTTGTCACCATGGCTGGTTCAAAAGCTGTCGCTCTTTTGTTTCTGTTGGTTAATCTAACCACAGCCTCTGTTATCCCACGTGGAGAGGCCTCATCGTCGGCGGTTGCTGCTAGCGCGAGCGCGAGCGCTGAGGCTTCCTGCTGGCGATACACACTCCCTACCACTCTCACAGAGGATGATATCGAGCAGAATGAGGATGACACCACCTCATCGACCAGACGGCGGGGTCTGAATTACTTCGATCGCCGCGATCATACCAAGACTGAAAAGCTCGGCACCTGCGACTTGGGGCAGACTATCTACAAGCCCAAATACTTTCGTTCAAAGAATATCCAAACTAGCCAAAACAAAGTTAGCGGTTATAGCTTCCTCGGGTACTTCATTCCCAAGCTAGACACCTGCGATGCAGCCGTTACGTTCACGACGATTGCAAATGCAGCTGACGTTTCGAAAACAACGGCTGGGTACTGGGATGATGTTGAGGCAAGTGCCCAACAAAAGTACCTCGATCTGGGAGCCCAGATCAACAAGAACAACCAGGAGATGCCACACATTAATGTGGATCATGTTTGTGAGTGGTCACTTGTTTTAGAGTCTATGCATTATCTAACTATTTCTAGACGAGCTCCAAATCCTTGATGCCTTCTTGACGGCTATGATTGACGAGTACAAGTTCTGCGACAGTTTCAAAGAATGGTTCCTCACGATCGATTCAACCTTCAAGAACAAGCAAGGAGTGAATAAGCCCCGTCTTCAAAAGCTTTACAGTTATGTAAGTATCTATTCCCTGTTCAGTCACCACCATAATGTGATGCCGGCGGCTAATCAGACTGCTAGTTGCCTGGTGAGACGTATCCGGACTTGGTGGCCATGGACAGTCGCTTGAATTCGTACAAAGCACCTGTGAGTTCAATATACACTTTCCTCTTTATCAGTCCACTCCGCTCGACAAGTAATAGCTGACCATCGGCTCAGATGTTCGGAAGTGAAGAATTGAGCGGTATGGCTTCTGTCGACGGCACCGGAGACGCCCGCCAGGGCAGCGCGCTGAGCATCATGAACACTCTGGCAGTGGTTGTCTCAATGCTCCGCGACAACAGCGTCGCCACCTACTTCAAGAACGCCAACACCCGCATGTATAAAGCTTTCCTTGGGATTGATGACCTCATGAGCCAACAGAAATCCTGCAACCAAGACCTCGACCTCCCGCAACCCAAGAACGGCTGGGCCAGTGCATATGAAAGCTGGATGGATAAGTTTCTGAGCACCCAGGCGGCGGCTGTCTCGACCCGCATCTCATCGGTTTCAGCACAAGTCACTAGCACCGAGGCTGCGGGGGCCAAGAACGTCTATGGCAAGGCGCTGGATGCGTTCAATGAGAAGTACCCTACTGCATCATGGAAATGGGACAACGGCAAGCTGCTGGACTGGAGCGCAACTGACGGCACTGCCTTTGCCAAGCGCGATGCCTCGTCGGCGGCTGTCTGCACGCCTACTGCTACGCCGTCCTCCTCGGCAGTCAAGTCCCACTCTGCTTCTAGCAAGGCCACGCCGAGCCAGACTGGAACTGCAAACACGGCCTCGGAGACAGGTAAGCCCTTCTTATCAAATAGGAAGAGATCTCTCGCTCGATGCTGATATGTTCTAGCTTCGCACACGGTCAAGTCCACCGTGACATCGTCCTCGCAGAAGGCGACGATCACGCCTGCGACAAGCACTTCCACCAAAGCCGAGACCACAACCAAGAGCAAGCACGGCTCTGGGTCTTCCGAGGCAGCACAGACTACCAAGTCTACTAGCAGCAAGCCGAAGGATACCGAGACCGCAACGACCAAGTCTAGCTCGTCGTCGGCCAAGGATACCGCGACTATCACTAGCACCAAGACCACATCGACGGCTACTCCTGACTCGAAGGATACGAGCACCAAGGATACTTCGACTAAGGACACTTCGACTAAGGACACTTCGACCAAGGATACCACGACCACTACTTCCACTTCCACAAAGACCAAGGAAACCACCACCTCCACCAAGACTTCCACCACAACTAAGAGTACGAAGACGGCTACTAAGACTACTACCAAGTCTTCGAAGGAGACTGAGGTTTCCTCCTCTTCTTCTTCGTCTTGCAAGAAGAAGAAGTGCAAGAAGGGGTAAGTAGATAGTATCCAAACAGAAGAAAAGAATTTCGGCTAATCAGCGGTATAGCAAATGCACCTGCGTGTCCTAAATAAGGAGAAGTACTACCTAGGGGTAGGAGATGCTGTGGGATGCTGATGCGGAGACATTCATGTATTTTATTCTTTAGAAGCTGGGGTAATCTGTTCATTATCAAGACCTTGTCTGTTTATATTATCTGAGCATCTATACATCGGTAGGATTTCTAAGGTAGGATTATTTTTGAAGATCAAATGGTCTGCATAACAAGGGAGACGCTACATACCTCATTGGGGAAGCCTGGCTTTGAAGCCAGCACAGCCCCTATTTCTGCCTGGAACCAATATATACTACCTAAAGCAGAATCTTAATGCCTCGGGCATCAGGTACCTCAGAATGGATCTAACGATTCGTTTCTAATCCAGGAGCTTTGATTTATACGGGTAGTAATGCGAATATGTGATAAATTTACAAGCATTCGCTAAAGTAGAATTCAGCGCAATGTCCCCTCAGCGGCTCCCGACCCAATATCCTATCCTCCTCAGGCACACCAATCAGTCATAATTTCTCGGCTAATTGCTATGATGTTAGTCCACACACATAGTTGCTACTTTCTAATAGTGTGCGCGCTGTTGGTAGGACATCATGAAGCAAAGCTAGTTCCGGTCTCAAGGTGGTCTCAGATGCTTACAGCCCAGGGTGAAAGTTGGTGGAAGGTAATTGAAAAGATTGAAAAGATTCATAAGACTTATGTTATGATAAACATTAGTTACTTTTACGACGAACATGTTTTCATTCCCCAAGCTGCGCCCTTCAATGATATGGATCTCTCATCAGCCTTACCTCACGATTTGTACCCCAAGTTTGCGGACAACCAATCCAGAAAGCCACAACGGAGAGCTCAAGGCTAGGAGCATAAGAATAAAAAGTGCATCTGTGCTAACATTAGCTCCAAATGGTTCGCCAAATATCTTTCCGTGTTGGACTTTTAGGTCTCGCTCTTCATCTTTCGTCAGAAGCAGAATGCGATTGATCTTTTCCATTCTCTCCTGCCACCTTTGACGGTATGTTTGCTCCAATATTTGAAGCTTTCGAGCTTTAGCCTCCATGATCTGTGCTTTTTCTTTCTCAATTTTACCAATCCTACGTCTCAAGGACGCCTCGAGAGCTATCAAATGGGCCGCTCGGCTTTCTTCTGTCGCCTTTTTCTTCTGTTTCTTCTTTTTCTGTTTCTTTTCTTCCTGTTTCATCTTTGTCCGTTCCCTTTCTTCCTGTTTCTTCTGTTTCTTCTTTTTGTTCTTTTTCGGCATATCTGACGGCCCTGCTTCAAATGCAAGGATTCTCTGGCGCTGGTATAGTGGTGGCTCACTGCCCAAAGCGATGGCTTCAGTATGACGGTGTGATGGTCCGCTGAACTCAGTATCATCGGGATACCAAGTGACCTGACATTAGTCAGAGTGTAAAACTAAATAAGTTCATCGGATTCGATAGTAAGTATGGTTTCCAATCAAATATACCTGTTGAATGTTATATCTCGATGCAACTTGACTGATAGTAGACTGAAATTCCCGTTCAAGCTCCTCCTTTGTATTTCTCAAGGCCAATAATTTCTCATGAGTCAACGAAAGATGGTGAGCCATCACATTGCGAATTTGCTTCGACCTCAAGAGTAAGTTTCTGAAATGTCTCGAGGTTCGTTCGTCTAATACACATCGAAGCCTGCTGTTGGGCTGGAAACAAGCACACTCAAGGGTATCGACAATTGCCGGGAGGTCCGCTGCCTGGTGACAATAATATCCTCTTTCTTCGAGGCCATCTGGGTCAACTATTTCTGAGAGTATATAGCCTAAGAATTCCAACTCTTTGGTCCACTTAAGGACCTGTTTGTGAGACTCGAGGTATACATCGGGTTGCTGTTGCATGTTGATGCCTGATAAGCTTGAGGGTTTCATTTCTGGTGGGAGGTTCCAATGCATTTAATTCTTGAAGCGAGCAGTTGATGTAAATGCCCTTAATGTCGTCATGTTGAGATCATAAACTAAGGTTCAACCGGATGGATGCGGATGTTGTGGTTGGGGTAGAGAAACACGAGGGTATCACCAGAAAGGATACGAGCAGAGGGGTGGGTGTTGCCGTAAGCTCATAGTAGCTATACCTTTCTTTTTCCTTGGCCAGGTAATAAAACACTTAACCACCTCCTGATGCAGCAGGCTTTGGTCAAGGCTTTGACTGCTATATATTGATTTCTGAAGTCACCATTACTCCCTGAACATATAGGCTAGGCCCTTATCGGCAGCCTTGTCGTACTAGCTTCGTCTACTGTTATACAACCACTGTTTCTCATTCGCTGCACGCAGCGGAGTGTCCATTCTTATTTCCCCGAGTATATAACGAATCTCAGCTCCAGCCAATCATCATCATGTAGTATGAATGAAAAGTTTGAGACCGTCTGCTCAACGATGTAGTGTATCAAGTGGAAGCAATCCCTGATTACACCTTCCTTTTTGCCTTTTTATACTTTCCGGATATCCCTCGATTCCAGCTATCCCACTCCATCAATTCTTTCCTCGCACTATTGAGCTGGGTTACCTGTTCATGAAGATCTAGACTCAACTGATTTATCTGTAATTGAAGATCATCAATTTGTTCCACCAGAGTCTCGGCACCTATCCCACTCATGTTGAGCCGCCTGGCCAACTTGTGCGATAAGTCCACCATGAATTCACCACCCTCTGCCATAATTTGATCGAAGCTCTCACTTTCCAACTTAGTGTAATTCAATGCAACATACTGGGATAACAACTTCCGAGCAGGATTATCTTGTAAATTCGCTCCTGGTGTCGAATCGTAGACAACACGGATAGCATCTGCGAGATACGGAAACACTGCCTCTGTTTCTGCATCGATGATAATAAGAACCTTCGTGAGACGTTGGAGTGCGAAGTCTTCAAGTTCACGGATACAATAACGATGTGCGAAGCAATATACTTTCGCATGGATCAGTATTTCAGCGCCAAGGCGATCGTCAGGATTCGGAGATGCTCGGTAAGTGCAAGCGCCTGCAGCAGTATGGTTATTATCTGCCGGTAGGCCAGCCTTGAGGCACCGGCTCAAGGGTGTTAGTGGTCTGTTAAGTGTTTCATGATCATCGGGTACAGACTCGGGCGTAGACGGCTCGATTCCACTAGGAGCTATGAACAACATTAATAAATCACCGACATTAACTTCAGCAGACAACGCCCTACCTTTGCCGTCATCGTCGTCTTTGCAACTATCATCAGGAGGAACTTCCAACTGCGGAACGTAGTAATCTTGCGTATAAAGGTAGCTTAAGACGCATTCGACTGTCTGCTCATCGAAGTCGGACCAGTCAATTGGACTTTCATCTCCGTGCTGCCTCCATGGCCCTTCGATTTGCGCACTTAGTGCCGAGTTTTTGCACCATGACAAGGCGTCAGGATGGACAAAATAGGAGCTCTTAGCACTCCCTACAATCACCTGGATCGGTGGTTCTCGGAAAATCCTTCGTCTATATCAGTGATGTTCATCATAACGAGGAGAGATGTGTACTTTGCGTAGAGTGAGGTATTAGGTCGTGGCTCCATTTTCGACTAAAAACGAAACGTGGGTTCAGTTGACAGAATATTGAGGTTTTACATGAGTTTAGAGCATGAATTAGCCTGTCCTTTGATAGCACGAGGTGGTTTTATAACACAGACGTTACCCCGCTTCAAAAGAAGCAAGGCTGCATACTTTTGTGCTTGCCGCCGACAAGGGTGAGGAGGGGTAAAACAGTTGGCAAGCCTAATTCTTATTTGAGGGCGTGTGCCATCTCTTTCGCAGCCTCATGTTTATGCCCAACATTTTGTCATTCTGCTGCGACCTAGACTAATTTGGTTATCCATGTAAAATGGTATATCGTTTAGCATAGCCCCTACGAGAGAATTACCGCACGTACCCAACCAATAACAAATTTAGACCAGCCGAAGTTATCGAATTTCACTGTAAGGCTCCCTTGGAGACAAGGCTACCAAGCTGCAAGGCTGATACTCGACCAGAGATAACCCAACTGCGCAACTGAACATATTAATATTGCGAAATTAATCCATTCTCAGCATTTCAGCCTTGCAGCTGGAGCTACGAGGATTTAGCACTCCCTGGTACTGGATGTGGGTTGATTATTGTGTATATATTGTCCTTAGTATCTTCTGGCATTCAATAACCTCTTGTCAAAGTCTTGGGAATATTTCAATTCACTGCTACTCACCCTTTTCGCAGTCAAAATGCAAGATATCACCAAACCTAGTCGAGCTCTGCTTCGATCAACATACAATGATGAAGACATTCCCAGCAACTCAGCATATTATCTCGCCGTCAACGGAGATTTGACTCAGCGGTACCTCCGAATTCTTGATATGTCATGGATGCATGCACGCCTTCCGAGGATCTCACGAGGGCAATCTTTACTTCCGCTTGCCGATACTAGACGTAATCAAGCTCCCCCACCTATAGCAAGCATCTCGGTGCCTAATACTTCCCAAACGTCGGGCCGTAGGATTCGGCGCGTCCGAAGGTATGATCCATACTCGAGAAATCATGAAATCCGGAGAAAGGAATTGGGAGATTTCTTCAAGCCGATGTTTGAGAAAGACTCCCCCGTGATATTTATCTGTTGGGGCAGAAAAGAGCGCTGCCAGATTGTTCCGGTGGTGATCACTGACCCAACTGATGAGGTTACCGCGTGGCAAGCAATTTCCCGGGAGTTTTACGCACAGAGAGGCGTTTGGGCGAAATATTTGCCATGGTTTTGTGTGAATAAGGTGGAAATCGTTGATGTATGTGGCTTCTAAACATCAAAATCGAGGCGATTATTCTGATTGCAATACCAAAGATTTCTATTGCAGGGCCGAAACTAGCCAGTGGTCGTCGATCGACAGGCATTCAATATGTTGGAATATATAATAGTGAAGACATAGTTACCAGACGGAAGCATTTGGAACAAGTCGTCGCGGATTACGAGCCTCAGGATTGGCCTTGTCCGTATAACATTTCTACAGGGATCGTGGTCTGTCTCGATGATTGTGTAACAAGCTATGCGGATTATGCAGAATGCCCTGAGAAAACTAAATTCCGGGCGGAACGTGAGCTCTCGTTACTCCGTCTTCGGCCTATATTTACCCATTGCTTTCTGAAAGCTGATATTGCTGCACACAATCACCTCCTTAGCAGGGAGGGATTAATACATGGTCATCAGTAAGAGACTCCTCCGTCCGTCAATATCTATGATCGAAAGTACTGATCTTCATTCAATAGAGATATCCTGAGAAAACTCAATGTTTGGCATTGTCCGGAGTTGGGTGAAGTTCAATTTCGCGGCTTGATGATCGGCGACAATTGGGAAGGCAATTTGCGGCATATGGTGCTACTCATGGCAGTAGTACTAATATTGCTAAGCGTAGCCATTGCAAGGTTAGTTTTCGATGACTGGGCTATAGCATGGACCGTTGGTGCCTTCTTTGTAGCGTTGTTAAGCTTGTTGCAAAAGGGGAAGAGTTGATAGCTACTATGCAGTGGGAATTAACCACCGGTTACATTATATGATGATAAGATTATAAGCTTGAGTTGGTCTGTCTCCAGGGCTGTAACATATTCTGTTGCGGGAACATATAATTTTGTCAAAATAATGTGGTACTTCTCAAGACTCTTTCATAGTAGCTTCATGGGGGCTGGTTGCTCTACTAGTACTATGCTAGTATAATATAGATTTTTACTCAGCGCCACTGCCAGCGGACTGTGTAGGGGAGAGAATGGCAAGACTGAGGCTGAGAGAGCGAGTCCACCGTGCAGACTTGGCTTGCTGCAGCAACACGTGGCTCTTTACTGCACATCCGTTGGCAAAAGAAACAAATCATCAACAGGAGATTGAGTGGCGGGTGATTGATTGAATTGAATGGGGCTGCCAGGGACGGGGGGTCCCATGACATCCATCTTTATGTGGCCTGGATTTGGTATATTGCTTAGTATAGCCCCTACAAGAGAATCGCTGCACTTACCCAATTAATAACGAATTTAAACCAGCTGAAGCTATCAAATTTCACTGTAAAGCTTTTCTAGAGACAAGACTACAAAGCTGCAAGGCTAATAATTAATCAAGAATAATCTAACTGTGCAACTAAGTATATGATTATTATAAAATTAATTAATAATCAGTATTACAGTCTTGTAGCTGGAGCTGCGAGGCTTTGATACTCCTTTTATTTATATGTGGGTTGACTGTTGATAATGTATTCAAAGTAGGCCACTGGCATAAGTTGCCGGGAGGTATGGCTAGTTACACAACCATTCAAGATATTTACTAAAATGCATAGTAACTAAGCATTCATTTACATTTTATGTAATAGTAATACCAATATATTTAAGCTGTATAGAAGCTACATTTTAGGGCTACAACTAGTTAAGGCTTATATTATGGCTATTCACTACTGTAGAAAGCTCATTACTTTTCTTTCCTAAACTATCAGGTAAGAGCTACTGTGTCTGTTCCTTTATCATTTCAAGTAGGTTCTCCACATTTTGTTCACTATCACTTCAATCTTTCTTTACTATCACAATTTTATCATCTCTCTCCTCTACATATCTCTCTCTTCTACTCTCTCTTCCTTACCTCTCTTCTCACTAATCTATCTTCACCACATCTACCTGCACCCCCTTCATTTACATCCCTTGCGTTTATATCTGTTCTCTCCTCATCGCCTGTCACTAAATATCTGCTGCCTTGATGGATTCCTCTGCGGAAAACTAACCCGTCAATATGGAAGACGACGATATTGATGATATTATCGATTGGTCAGGCGGTGAGTGAAAAGCTTTTGCATATGACACAAGGACACAGTACTAATAGTATGGGCGGAACAGGCGCAGACAAGGGAAAGAGCCCAGACTTACCAATGTGATAATGAGGATGAAGCCTGTGCCAACCTCGGGATCAAGAAGGAGAACCCCCGACTCGGAGGCATGATCCGAGGAACTGCATTGATGTTTTGGCAGCCCGTTTGTATAAACCGTATCATGGAGATAATGACCCTGGGCCTAGTCCTGGTCGCAATAATCGCTGATGTTGTGGGCGTGGGTAAAACATGGGAGGCTGTTGGCTTCCTGCTACATGTGAATACCCTATCAGAACCCTCCGAAAGGCTTTCGCAGCTCATGCAAGAGTATAGAATTTGAACCAATGAAAGGAGAAACTTCACGCCGCCACAGAATATGGCACGGAGCCACCAATAGGCCGTCCGACTCTTATCGTTGTTCCGTCCCATCTCATAGATCAGTGGGTGGACGAGATCAGCTCCATCACAGACTGTTTCAACTCCTGCTGTATTACGAAGACGGCCGCCGACAAGGCGCAGAGTTTATCAAAGACAAGCTTACCCGCAAGCACTCGATATTCACAGGTGGAATTGAGAGTGCCCGGACCATCATCATCACATCGTACCAGACGCTCGACAAGCCGTCAAGGCATGATGCGCCAAGACAAAGCATGAATATGATCCATCGAATCCAAGAATGTCCATCAGCTTACTCCATCACCTGAGTGGCCTCTTTGCGATTGCTGTCTTTGACGAGGCACACATGCTGCGCAATCCCCTGTCAGGTTTGTCCCTGGCATGTGCTTGGCTGAACGCCGGATTCAGACCGCTACTCACCGCGACCCCGTTTTATTATGGTGTAAGAGGCTTTTTAGGATACAAAAACCTCTTGATCCGTTCTCGCACAGGCGTGCATATTTCAATGAGCAATGCACGGGCGACCGCAATTGCTCACGCCTCAGCCGGTTCTGAGGACGAAAAAAATGCTCTGCAGTCAGCAATTTCTGGCCAAGCATATCTTGAAGATCCTGAAAGGTTTCCACTACCTGATCTAGATCTACTTGATCTTCAGTGGACGTTACATCGGCTTGGTGCAATGTGAGCCGCGGCAGGCTGGCAACCAGCTGATCAAGCAGATTATGATGATGATGAGAATGACTTTCTTCATAAGAAACTTGTGGAAATGTGCACACCCATTTCACAACAGACTGGTACATCGCGGAAACAAGAGACCAAGCAGGCCTACTTCAAGGATGTGATCGAAGATGCAGTCAATCCTCGAAACCTCCACTGTGGGCATTAGTGTATTTGACCTTGATTCGCGTATTCATGTTTGTCACCATTTACAATATTCCAGTACCAATTTAAATAACATGTTGTCTTATTGTAGTTGTAAGATGCAACTGTAACTTAATCAGAAACTAGTAATACTAGTAGAGAACCCTGTGAAAGGCTTTTGCAGGACCTTCTTAGAAGCATTAAATAATAATACTAGGACCATCAATACTAAGATGATAAGATCGTATTCTTATTTTGGTCTGTCTCAATGTCTGTAACATAGTATCCGGTGCTAGGAATATGTAATTCAGCCAATATAGTACTAAGTACTAGTGATGATGTAGTACTCAAGACTTTTTTATAGCTTTCATGGGGATGGGCCTCTTTGCCAGTAGTACTATGATATATATATATTCTTAGTCAACGCCACTACCAGCAGGCTGCGCAGTGGAGAGGATGCGCAGACTGAGGCTGAGAGAAAATCCACAGTGCAGACTTGGCTTGCTGCTGCAACGCGTGGCGCTTGGCAGCAGCCAAAAGATGCACATCCGTTGGCAAAAGAAACAAGTCATCGACCGGCAGTTGAGTGGCGGGTGATTGATTGAATTGATTGGGGCTGCCAGGAACGGGGGGTCCCATGACATCACCGCCGACCGGTCGGGATCTTTTGAAGAGAGTTTGGATAACCCTCTCCACTTCTCTTCTTCTACTTACTTTGACTATCAATGCAATGACGATGCAGTGCCCAATGACATGTGGCAATCGCTTCGTGTTCCTGTCCCTTTCCTCTCCTTTATCTTTCTCTTAATCTCGCTCTCTCTCCTCCCTCTTTCGCTGCATGCACGCTCGTTCCACCTCCCACCCCTTTCTTCCCCCCCTTCATTCTTTTTGACCCGCTCGCGTCCTCCACTTTAAATCTTCATCTTTTATCCTTCTTTACTATTGTTGTCCTCTGCAATTTTCTTTCCTTCTCTTATACTTGGCTTTTCGAGCCATGTGTCCTGGTCGACTGTTCCCCCCTCTAGACTAGTACAATGCCACTCAACACCTTTGCCCTGAGTGTGGCCCTCACTCCGGCCGTCCTCCAGACCCTGATCTCGCATGTGGGTCGCCCTGCCGCTGTCACTTCACTGTTCTATCCCCATTTTGTTTGATCTCGGGTCATAGTTCATGGACCTTGACTCTGACATTGACCCTGATCCTCTATCTCCAGTATGTCCATCGCAAATCGCTTCGTCAGAAGCCCAACGTCCACGTCACCTACGATGAAGCCATCCGCATCCTGCGTGAATTCCTTGTCTATGCCTCCAAGCATCCCGTCGAGGATCTTCAGGCCTTTACCTGCCAAAAGGTGCCCGCGCCCCATTGGGTGAAACTACAAACCATAACCGTGTCGGAGGATTACCTCTCGTCAGCGGCTAAGGCCATCAACCAACAGTTGGGTCCCAAGGGCATCGCACGGGTTGGAGGGAGTGAGTGGTGGCAGTGGCGTGGACCAGCCGAGGACCTCAAGGGAGAGTGGATCGAGATGAAGGATGATTACAATGAGCGGAAGCAGACCAGTCGCGATCATCCGAGCCAAAAGCGGATCATGCTGTATATCCACGGTGGGGCGTACTTCTTCGCTAGTCTGGATACCCATCGCTATCAGATGCAGCGGCACGCTAGGAAGCTTAAGGGTCGGGTTTTTGCACGGTAAGCTTATCGCCTATCTCTCATTTGTATGCAATGCTAATTTAATGTAGTGAGTTCCGATCTACTGGGATGCGGCCCGTGGACCGTAAAAGCTAATTCTTAATCTCCAGCCAAATATCGTCTGGCACCGCAGTTTCCTTTCCCATGCAGTCTACAAGACTCGCTGGCCGCATACCTGTATCTCCTGGAGGATCATGATCCGAAAGAGATCATTTTCGCCGGTGACTCGGCCGGTGGAGGAATGGTGTTCTCGTAAGTAAATTGCAGCGGTGGAAGAGCAATGCTGACTCTGGTAGGATGCTTGTCATTTGTCGCGATCAAGGTCTGCCTTTGCCGGCGGGTGCTATCCTAATTTCCCCTTGGGTGGACCTCACGCATTCGTTCCCGAGCATTGTCGCGGACAACCCGGGCGACTACATTCCTCCCTATGGCTTCAGACATAAACCCTCCGCTGCATGGCCCCCGCCAAACGCGGACGAGCTGCGTGAGCTCAAGAAAGGTCTCAAGAAACACCCAGCCAGCCAGAGTGAGGCTCTCAAGGCCATCCCGAATGATAGCGAGGCCGAAGAAACAGCAGCAAAGGGGTATTCGAGCCGTAGGAACAGCACGACCAACGCGGAACGTGCCTTTGACATCGAGCACGAGACTGTCAAGGTGGTACTTGATGGGGAGACAGTGGAGGTCAAGGACCAGATTCACATGTACACTACTAACGAGCTTCTGTCTCATCCTCTCGTCTCCCCTGTCTTCCAGCCATCACTGGGAGGTCTACCTCCACTGCTAATCCAAAGCGGAGGTGGTGAAATGCTACGAGACGAGCAGTTCTACATTGCACATAAAGCCGCCAACCCCACAGCATACCCGCCCAGTGACAAGTTTCTCGACGAGCATGATCCATCACGCGAGATTCTTCACAAATACCCCGGTACCCATGTGCAGCTACAGGTCTGGGACGACCTCTGCCACGTCGCTCCCACTCTCAGCTTTACTCGTCCCGCGAAGTATATGTACCGGGCGATCGCTCAATTTGGGGCCTGGGCTCTGGCATGTGCGCAGAAAGAGGAGGTGGAAATCGAAGATCAGCAGTCTGGGTCGTCCAGCGAATCTGACAAACTAGGAGACGCTGCTAACGGTACCACCAACGGCACTGCAGTCGCATCGATTGGACGGGCGGGCGATCCATTGCCGGCCTTCAAAGACCGCATGATCCGTCAACGAGTCGACAAACGGGGCAATATCTACCCGCTTGATCCTCCGTCTCAGTGTCCCGTCCTCCAAATTCCCAGCTCCCAAGTCGGTACCTTCAACCCCAAACTTGTTCGTGGATGGCTTGCAGCTAAGGAGGAATGGGACGAGAAGTTCGCCAAAGACAAGCTCCGGGTTCAGCGACAGCGAATCAAGGAATTGGCGTATGGCCTTCAGACATTCAAGGACGAGTTGCCTCCCCCCAGTTCGCTCGCTGCGAGACGAAACGCCCCTGGCGTCTTGCCCTCCAAGACCGGACGCAAGAGTTACCCCATGACGATGTGGAGCAGACTGGCGAGCAAGCAAGACGAGAGATCAATCGCTAGAGAACAGCAGAAAGGCTGCGAGGTCAAGCGAAAGAGTGTCGACGCCGGGCGCGCTGGAGCGTCAATGGACGAGGCCAACAGGTCCAAAGCCGAGAGTTTACGGCCGTCCTCTCAACCGGCTACTCTTGCCTCGCAGCCTACGAATATCGTCATTGTTCCAACCCAATCAGAAAAAGACAGTGTAACCTCCCACAAGGCGTCAACTGATGGAGTTGATCAGCTGGGAACCTCTCCCCCGCAAGGTACAGCCCTGAGCAAATCCAGCAGCCGACTTATGTTACTCCCCGAATACGAAGGGAAAACGCTCCTCGACGAAAACGCCAGCACAAGGACGCTCTTCCGTGAAGCCGGCGCCATCCCTACCACATCAGATGGCGTATGGTCACGACTACGCCAGCGGCCACTATCCCATGCTGGGTCCGGCACCATCCGCAGCGAATTCACCTCCGAGCTCCCTGAAGATAGCAGCACGATCGGCGATGAGAAGTCCCTTGCGGTGACCACCACGAATGTGGACGAAGCCAGTACCCGCGCTGTACTGCGCGCCGGTGGTGTGGTGGGTCTGATGAGCGATGATGGCGACTCGGCTTATCGCTCGTTTGATGCGCTGTCGACGACGGATGCCGGTGATGCCGAATCTGTACCTGGTGGCGTGAATAGTGATGCTGGAGGTGTGAATGGCAGTGCTGAGGTTGACAAACACGCGCGTCCGACTATGCCGGATCGCGAGTTCTTCAAGACGGCCGAGGAGTATGTGGCTTACTGAGTTGGTAGCCAGTGGAGGTGTGCTGATGGTATATGCCTTTTGATTTTTGCGTCTTGTCTCGCGACATGACGGGTATATGCCACTGTTCTATCTACAGTTCTGATCTATCGTTTTCTTGTTTTGGAATACCCCGTTGTTGAATACTACAAAGACATACACCATCTAAAATACCTGCATGACTGTACATACCGCAATCACATAACCATTAACCATAACACATTTTGGGTATAATCATACACACATACTATACAAACAATCCTCATCTCCCCCTCCCCAAAAATACAAATCTACCACTCAATCCCCACCTTCTTCGCCACCTGCTCCGCAACATCCAAGAACGCCCTCCTCCTCACCCCCTCCTTCCCCTCCTTCCCTTCCTCAGCAACCACACTCGGCATCCCCCGATCCGCATCCTCACAAACCCTCGCATCCAGCGGCACATCGCCCAAAAACCCAACCCCAAGCCTCCTACACTCCGCCTCCACCCCCCAATCCGCCCCCTCATGTACATGCTTTCCCTGCGAAAAGATCTTCGTCTGCGTCCCGCACTCCGGGCACGCAAAGAACGCCATATTCCTCACCATCCCCAGCACCGGCACATCCATGCGCTGAAACATGCCGATTCCACGCACTGCATCCCGCAGCGCAATATCCTGTGGCGTGGTCACGATCACGGCCCCATCAAGAATGATCTCCTGGTTGATGGTGAGCTGCACGTCGCCGGTTCCCGGGGGAAGGTCAAGGAAGAGCACGTCCAACGGACCCCAGGATACGGAGTGCAGGAGTTGATGCATTGCTTTTGTGACCATTAGACCTCGCCACGAGATGGGGGTTGGGTCCATGGGGGGTCGTTCGGTCGGGTCGGTGGTCGGGGGTGCTTGGGTGCTGGGGAGGAGATAGCCCATTGACATGGATTTGAGGCCGTAGTTGGTTAGGGGGAGGAGGCAGTTTTCTATGATTCCAACCGGGTTATTCATTAGTTGAGGTTCCCGTATAATAGCCGTAGGTGTGATAACGCACTATCATCTAATCTAGGCTCGCCGGATAGGTTCAACAGAGTAGGAATGGATGGGCCGAAGATATCGGTATCGAGGATGCCGGTGCGGATGCCGCGGCGGGCGAAGGCGAGAGCGAGGTTGACTATTGATAGTAAACCCAAAACCCATTAGTATCCGGCTGGTTGTTGTGACTGGCATGAACAGGATGGTATGAAGACATACCCGCTATCGTCGACTTCCCCACCCCACCCTTCGCCGAAGACACAGCAATCACCTTCTTCACATCGCGGATCTTGCGCTTCTCGGGGAGCCCGCGACGACTTCGGAGAGACGGCGGCGTGCCGGAGCGAGGGAGGCCCTGATACCTTATTAGTACAATTTTATTGATGTTTCGGATGAGATGAGAAATACCAGAGGATTCTCATGCTGCAAGCTCCGAAACGTGGAGAAAAACCTCTTCCCCAACATCATGAACGAATGTGATCAATTACTTGTAAGTATGTAAGTTGAAGCTACTATGATTAAATGATGGAAGCTAATACTGCCAGAATAAACCTCACCGCCGGCAAAACCCACCCCATTCCACCTAACTTCTTCCCAATATGGTAAGTAACCCCGACACCGCATCCCGAAATCTCGGGCAGAAAAAAAAAGTTGCAAAGGGAAACTAAACTAGTCTGCGGTCTTGAATTTCTGCGCTCTAAATTATTTGCATCACTCTGCTTTGATTCTCCTTGAACCAAAAGCAATCACAGCCATGGCTCCGAAATCTCTGGCGGAACAGATGGCGGAGTTGGAGGATTTGACTCCGAGAGGTAATTTACTATTTCTAACCCTGTTAATGGTGATGTTGATGTTGTTGGGGGGAAATATGTTCTGACTATGGTGATGTTTCTAGACTACGACCCTGAGGATCTTGATCGCGGAAACCAGGATAGTGATGAGGAGGGTGCTGCTGGTGGTAAGGATGAGAATGCGGGGAGGGAGCATTATCAGGCTGTTGGGTAGGTTTTTCTTCATTTCTCGTTTTGTTTATGGGTTGGTGTCTAGTGTTCGTGGGACGTGTTCTAATTATTGTATCATTGCAGAAAAGCGAAGCTTCGCAAGCAGGATCCCATCACCCTCGGAAAACAGTATGCTGGGTCGAAAGTGAGTCGCGCGGCGTTGGAGGCTGATAGTGATGATGATCCGTTTGCGGCGCGGTCGGGTGATGAGGATGAGGATGAAGATGATGACGAGGACGAGGACGAGGATGAAGATGAGGATCTGGAACTGGGCAGCGACGAGGATGACGAGGACATCTCCGAGAGCGAGGAGGAGGAGCAGCAGCGCCCATCCAAGTCCGCAAAGAAGGGAAAGAAGCAGGTCGACCTGGACGACATGGATACCGACGAGTCGGACGACCTTGAAGGCAGCGAAGGATCTTTCGACGAGGACGAGATGCCCTCCGACGAAGCCGAGGAGGACGAAGACGGCGACGAAGATGACGACGAAGAATCAGAATCAGAATCCGACTCCGACTCCAAACCGCGCAAACCCACCAACGACCGCGACGAACTCCGGCGCCTGATGGCAACCGACCAAAAGACCATCGCGGCGAGCATCTCCCAAGCGGCCAAAGCCGACGCCGCGAAAGGCAAAGCCGTGAAGCAACAACGCGCGACCTTCGACGCCCTCCTCAACACCCGAATCAAGCTCCAAAAGGGCCTAACAGCCATCAACCAGCTCTCCCTCGCCGCCACATCCCCCGACGCCGACTCCGAAGAAGCCATCACCTCCGCCGAATCCGCAGCTCTGGCGCTCTGGTCCACGCTCGAAGACCTGCGCGTTGCGCTCGCCGACGCCCACAACACCAACGGTAGCACAGACGAACCCAAGAAGCGCAAGCGCGTCGACACCGACACCCCCACCGCGACGCTCTGGACACGCATGACCGATCTCGAATCCGCCGCGACCACCCACCGCCGCACCATCCTGGACAAATGGTCCGCCAAAGTCCGCGGTTCGACCGCCACGACCGCCGCCAACACCCGCGGCAAGCTCATCAACCCATCTGGCTCGGGTGCGCAATCCATCACCGCCGTCCTGGACGCCCAGGTCGCGACCGAGACAGGCGACCATTCCCGCGCTGCTAAGCGCGCCCGTCAAGACACCACCACCACTGCTGCCGAAGGCGCAGCAGCCACTACCCCCATCTACGACGACACCGTCTTCTACCAATCCCTACTCCGCGACCTCGTCGAGCAGCGCATGGCCTCCTCCGATGCGATCACCAACGGCCTCGATACCCTGCACATACAACTGCCGACGCGCGGCGGAGCAGCGATCCACCCTGTGACGGGGATGCGGAAGGACAAGGTCAAGCGGGATGTGGATACGCGGGCGTCGAAGGGTCGCAAGATGCGGTTCGATGTTCATGAGAAGTTGCAGAATTTCATGGCGCCGGAGGATCGTGGTAGTTGGACGAAGCATGCGCGCGAGGAGTTCTTTGCGTCGTTGTTGGGTAAGACGGCCAGTGGGCTGTTGAGGGAGGAGAGTGGGGATGAAGAGAGTGGTGCGGAGGAGAGTGAGGAGGATAGAGAGGAGGGTGGCTTGAGGTTGTTCAGGAGCTAAGTAGATCCTGCTTACTTTGGGTGTATAGTATTGGTTGCCTTTTTTTCTTATATCTAAGAGTTGTTCAGGGGGGGAAGAGTGTGGAGTGTATATAGCTTGGATTGATTACTATGTATGGTATGTGGGATTGGTACACAACAACACAACACAACACAACAACAAAAGTCACAGTTTGGTTCGACTTCCCCGACATTTGTCTGCCCTCTGTTCCTCTCCCTCTTGGGAATCGTCGTATCGGTCATAATTCATTAATCGTAATGCTTTGCTGCAGCGCAATAGGTAAGGTAGTGAGTATCCACAGCCTCGGATATATCCTCATCCACGAACTCTCCTATCGAGCGCAAAGCGCAAAGCAGCAGGTCGGCACGTATGCTTCTCGATCCATCAACAGACAGACCAACACCCAGCACAGAGACCAACCTTTAAATAAGCAATAGAATATAAGCGCAGTGGTTCAGTAGGTATAGATATCACCGCTGCGCTCCCCTCTTCGCAGGCGAGTACCTCGGCAACCACCCGGCCGCCGACCCAGCAGACAGGGGTCTTTCCCACTCGAAGCTGGTCTGTCTCGGCAAACCGAGCATCTTCTCCTGTACAGCACGCTGGAGCTTCATTTTCCGTTCCTCTTCTTCCTGGGGGGAAAGAAAATGCGGGAAGCCGTCGTAGTCGACGATGACGGCGCCGCTGACGTCGTTGTAGCCTGGGAGGGAGGAGACAGGGATGGATCTGGTGGTTGTGTCGATCATGGTTGGATCGCTTTCTTTGACTTGTGGTGGCGATTGTTGTTGTTGGTCTTGTTGGGAGTAAGTGTAGGTTGGGGGTGGTGAGGGTGGTGTTGATGTTGATTTGTCGGCGAGGTAGTACTCGGCTGGGGGGTTGATGTCTTCCCAGATGAAAGAGGCGGTTTTGTTTTCGGTGGGTGTTTCTGGTTCGGATAGTGGTGGTGAGTGGAGGAGTGGTTTGGAGATTTCGGATGCGAATAGGTCTGGTTGTTGTTGTTGTTGTGGTTGTGATGGTGAGTATGGTTGGTGGGTAGTAATAGTAGTAGTAGTAGTGGTAGTATTGTTTGTGGTGGTGTTGGGTAGTAGAGGCTCCGAAAGACTAGTCGGAGTAGTACAAGGCTTATCCATTTTACCGGCAGAAGTGAAAAGGGACCGGAAGGATGAGAAGGGGTGGCAGCCTATTACTGGCCAGGAGGAGGTAGTTTTGTTGTCAGGCATTGATTCGATCAATGGCTAAGTAGTAGATAGATAGAGAGATGTTATTGTTGGCAGCAGCAGCGGCAGCAGCAACAGCAGCAGGAGAGAAGGAATGGCATTAGCACTCTGCAAGATGCGGGGGAAGTGACAGTCCATTGGGCCGGGAGCGCGGGAATAGAGTTTCTTTAGTAGTTTTAGCAGTGGCCAAAAAAGATGGGGAAAAGGGAGAAGAGGGAGGGGGTGTGGAAATGGGATGTGCAAATGACCTTCAGGGGTATGGAGGGAACTAACTAGTCGCATTTTGCATCCAACAAGTGAATATGCGGAGCCGTGACTCGGAACCGAGGCGGGCAAATGGATGATCAATGACTTCACGTGCCTCCCCTGGCACCTCTCACTTCTGACTATTGATTTCGCCCCAGCCGATCAGGCGGAACTGGAAGGAGCTAGTGCTGTTGAAGGCGCTCCTGAATGATGAAAACGGAGGGGGATGCGATGCTCTCAATTCCGGCTTCCATGGTTGCATTTCCGCCTGGCTCCACGTCGAATACGCGTTGTTATCCACCCGGATTAGGGCTCTGCTTGGCTTATTACGGTGGAAATGGACGTTTTCGGGCTCCCGATAATACTCCTCCGAACGACCACCATAAGTCTTCTGGAAATCCTGAAATCTACCTCGAAGTTTCGGTCCAGGCTTCATGTTGCTTCTACTTGGACCCTATCGGAGCCGGCAATCTCCGTGGCGCGATAGTCTCTGCAGCATGCATGGAAATGGCGCCGCGTGATAGGCAAACCCATATGCAGGGTGTCCGGCGTGCACGATGTGCCATTTAGGTTCGCGATTTCAAGATCCGTTGCCATTTGTGTCATGTCTACACCGCTACAATGAGGCCCGATTGTGAGGTGCCCGATAGGATTCAGATCAAGTCTCAAGGTTGGAGCTGGATTCGACTGGTCCGCGAAACTGCATCGACTGGTTGTCGCATGTGTTGGTGCAGTAGAATCATGCCCAATGTGACGTCTACAGCCCAGCAGTCGTGAGCGCCAGTTATATCTACGGCCATTATCTGCCAATCGGCATGCATCACAGATCCCGGCGGTCATATCGTCCTTTCAAGCTTTTAGCCACTTGATCAGATGGTGCTAGTCCACCGGTGCATATGCCCGGACGAATAAGAGCTGATAGAGAAAGCGAGAGTCCAGCACAGAGACGCACTGCTAACGTTTCTGCATTGATTACCCTGGCAGGTATCCCAGCGTGGTTAGACTCATCACAGGGGCAATGCGGGCGACTGCTGCCTGGCCGAGATCCACAGTTGATTGGGCTCAGCACAAGGGCAATAGCTGGTGACGTGCTGGGACTGTCGGAGTCAACCTATCCTGAGATAGGTGGCACAGCGCATAGTGCCCAGTTTTGCCGAATGATACACCTGTCACTCTTTGAGTAACAACGCCTGGATCTCGGTATATGTTCGGGTCAGTTCAGCTGTCCGTCTCTTCGTCGGCCCATTGCTCTCGTAAGGACTGGATCGATGCCGTCACATCCCACCCCGTTCTCGTCCACATCTCTCTGAGGAGGATTTCTGCAGCCTGTTGGTCCGTCTTTTGCCGAATGACCCAGCCCCCTAGTTCCATTGTTAGTCGAGTAGAAAAAAGGTTTGCGCTCAGTCCATGCCACATGACTTGACTGCCATGTCACTTACACGCTACGAGGCTATGCCGTGCGGTGAAAAGCGTATTCTCCGCTTTGGGATTTGACTTGGCCAATCCCAGCACCATGAACAGGTGATAGCGTATCGTTTTCTGAGTACAGTCAGGAGAAAGTATCATATTACACACACTAACGTACCTCGATGTTTCGCGAATTTCTGAAACTCTCGTAAGCAAGTGGAGGACTTGGGTAACAAGCAAAGGCAAGAACTATCTTGGCGATATGGTAGTACTGAGTTCCGACCACTAAATTGGAAAGAAATTAGTCTAAATCAGGCAGATGTCGGAATACTCACCATGCACCGGTAGCAACATCCACATCTCTGGGAACCGACGCGAGACATCCTTTCCACGAGGAAGCTCACGCAGGGGTTGGAAGGACGGCGGCTTTCTGGCATTCCAGTCTTCAACTTCCTGCGCAATACTCTGTAGCGCAGTGTATTCTGGCGAAGACATCTGATTGAAAGCACATTTGAGGACTTTGGCTAATAGGAAGACCATCCGAGCTGCCCACGCAAAGTCATCATTTCTTAGGAAGATATCGGAACGATGGAAGCTTTCCAGATTCGTTCGTAGGGGCTTTTGTGAGATCAGCGACACATGAATGTCCTCACGGAGACAGAGCCAGGCTGCCGCTTCACCCAATCCCCCGGAGGATCCAAAAGAGGAGACAGTATTCATGATACGCGTTGCCCCTGTCAGATGGAATTGGTTGTCGTCATCTATATCAAGTCAGCGCCGTGAATGCTTCTGTTGCAGCACGGCATCACATACACTCCATTTCCTCGTGTTGGCGAAGGATAGCAACAGTAGCAAGAACAACATCAGTCAGATCACCACCAGTTCCGGACAATGTAGGTATCAGCAGCTGAAGGCAGTGGTTATGATATTGCAGCGCCTCAGCTTCGTTTCCCTTCCTCTGTCGCTCAACATGACGCGAGGAGAAAGCGAAGATCGCATATCGCAGAACCGGATCTTGCATTGCTCTCACAGGCACCTCTATCTCAAAGTGTCGATGAGGGTCGGTTATATCTGCCTTTGAAGGGTCAGCGGCAGAACAGAAACTTGGAAACGCCAATCATCCGCTCATACCCACAACGCCATATTCTCAACATAGTTCCGCATCAACTTCGCTTCTCTCTCGTTGAACGAGTGTCGCTGTTCCTGCACCAAACCACCAGCCTGTAACTCCCTCCCGTAATATTTGCCAGAAGGCTTAAGAGCGTTTCCCACTAACAATTCTAACTCAGAAGAACGATCATCATGGCACAGAGTCTGTATCGGAGGTGTATCATCCGTCAATGGCGACGTATACTGCTCGAGGCCATAGTACTCGACAACTCCGACTGGAGTTATAGGTGCATCATTGACTCCATGAGACTGCTCTGTCGGGCCATTATGCTCTGGTTCTTCCACCTCATACAATCGTTTGATGATGACCGTTTCGTCAACGAACCTCACTTCAAAAGTTGAGAAGGTCAGCTTGACACCACCAACCGCCAAAGAGACAGATAATCACTAACGTGGACCCATCAAGTATGGCCACAGATCCCTTTCCGGGAAGAGAGTATCATCATCACCGAATATGTCTAGACCGTTCCGGAAGCGCACGTTTACTCCTCTGTCGCAGTCTATACCTGCTCGGAGGCAATGGCTGCAAGCTGGAGAATTGGTGTCGCCTGTAGGATAGACGTGTCAGTTCTGTACAATAAACCTATTTGTGGGGGGGTACTAACACTTCAGATGACGGACTAAACAAATGAATAGTTAGTCCTCAAATGATGAATCTCTTCCATCGCCTTCGGTGAAAGTAAGAGGGCGGTCTAGGAACTTACTCCGACATCGTTGACTGAAGGGATAGGTTAGCGTAGCAATCTAGGAGCGATGATAGGTGGTTGGGTAATTACCAGCCAGCGATCAGACGATGTCGTGGTTTGCGTGATGGGGTCATGGGGCTCTGGTGCCATTGAGAGCGTGAGAAAGTGGATGAGGAAACACGGAAAGAGTTGCCTTGTAGAGGTGAGCGCGGGCTAGTCTGATTTCGGTCGGGGGCCATCCCCGCATCCCATACTAAATCCCCGCATTCGCTAAATGAAGGAATCCAAGCCGCGGTCGGGCCTATCCGTCACGTTTTGGAAGGGCCATTCTTGGCATTCAATACAGATATAAGAGGTCGGTTCAGTACTTAAATGAGCTTATTTAGGAATAATGAATTTATCATCTAGAGAACGAAAACCTATATGCAATGACAAACGCTCATAAAACCATGATACATGACTACCGACGCCAAAGCCCAAGATGAGACAACAAATGAAGTCTCAATAATATTCCGGCAGATTGCCAAAACTAGGGATGGCATCCCCGCACTTAAAGGCCGGGCTATAGGCCTTCTTCGGCATATAGCCGTTCTTCCACGCCGTCCGATAGCTCCACTGTGCTGCAGACTCCGTTGCCCAGGTCCAGTAGAACCACCCCATGGCGGTTTCAAAAGCCGACATCTGTGCTTCGGCGTAGGTTTGGAGGAACGTTTTGTATCCTTCCGAGTAGACGCCGGGGACAGCGTTCGCTTGCGTGCAGCTGCAGGTCCCCTCACTCGCTGTGGGACAGTATTGAGTCGAGTCGGTAAGAGAGAAGGTACCTTCCCAACGAGTACCGCGGCCGACATTGTTAACGTATTGAGCACAGTCGGTGTCGGCTTGGGACCATTCACCGCAAATGGTTGGGCCCCATCTAGATAAGGTCAGTAAGTTGTGTGGGTGGGATAGACCGTAAAGATACATACCCCGTGCTGGTAATGTTGATCTGCTGGATCATGGAGTACCAGCTTTCGCAGATGAGCTCCACTCTTCTGGTGTGGTTGAGGACAATCTCGCCCGTGTTGAAGACGGTATATTGGTGGGTATCAAGCATCATATTGTTCGGTCGAGTTTTGAGCATCTTATCCCATTTCGCTAGGTTGAGGAAGCCGTCATGGGCGGTGACCCAAGCTTTAATACCATTCTTCTGCACCAAGTTGGTGGCTTCTACTGTCCAGTTGAGAACTTTCTCGACAGGCAGGGAAAGCATGAGCGGCTCGTTTACGAGGCCGTAAATCGTCACGACGTTCTTGTATCGGTCCTGTGCGAAGAACTGCGAGAGTTGGTCATGCATCTCGAGAGATCGTTGTCGGTTTAGTTCCCCGTCGGTGCCATTCAACCAGCCGATCGTACCTTGTCGACCGCTGTGGTTCCAGCCGTTTTGACTCCCTGGGATTCCGTGGGGATCGAGGTTGACTCGGAGGCCGTATTTGCGGCAGTATTCAATGGCTCTGAGGAGGTAGCGCCATGCGATTTTTGGGACATACGGATCGCCATCGTATGTCTTGATGGCCCAGTATGAAAACTGGATCCGAACGTGATCGAGACCGGCATCTCTGATGTCAGCAAAGTCTTGCTCGGTGATGAATGTGGCATAGTGCTTTTCGATGACTGAGGCAGCCGAGTCGCCGAGTTTCTTGGATAGCGTCCACTCGTCGAGTATTCCTTCGCTTGAAGTGTAGGTATCGAAAAGCGAAGGGACAATGAAGGGCTCGATCGACAACCAGCCTCCAAGGTTGACACCGCGGATAGGTTGCGACCCGTACGGAAACTTCTCGTCCAGAGGTGGCACATTCTCGTTCGCTTGGGCTGAATCGTTCCACGTCGAGTTCAGACCCATAATAGACAAACCGCCAACGGTGGCATTTGTAAAGGTCACATTGAAATCAGTGGTATCGTACCATGTAAATGGATCGAGGTACGTCCCTCTAGCATAGGCCTGTTATGGTCAGTATCTCTCCAAGCATGGGAAAGTAGAGCAAACATACCGGAATGCTATCACGACTAATCCCTTTCAGATTAGAATTCGAAGTATTGTCGCCTCCATTCGTTCCATGAAGCCTTCTTGCCTCGATGATTCCCACAGGGATCGCTATAGCTGCCATGACGATTAATATTGCAAAGAAGATGAATGTTTTGTGATATCGCTTCCAGAACGACGGCCTCGCAGAGGCAGAAGAACCTTTCGTGCTGCCATCCCAGTCACCCTCTTTCTGGAGCAACGCCTCTGTAGGCGGCCCACCTCCACCACGATGTCGCATCTCGATACCGGGGCCTCCCTGTTCCAACTGCGCCCCAGACACCACCCTACCCTGCGTCTGTCCCGTCGGCGCTACCGCAGGAAACGGCCGAAGCATCATTGGCTCCTCACTCAGAACCGGAAGTTTCCTTTGCCTACCACCCTCCAAATTCTTTTGTGACATTGAGTCCGCACGCTCACTGCCCAGATGACTCAAGCAATCCTCATCGCCATCCTGTGACCCAAGCAGCTTTGCCAGGGCATCCCCACTGACCAATCCCGCCGATGCATCTCCGTTCTTATGTTTGAAGAACGCCGCAAGCCTCTCTTTCCTCCTCTGCCGTCGCGTCTCTCGATCCAATCGCTTCTTTCCCTTTCCCTTACCCAGAGACCCGGATGGCAATGGAGGTCCATCATCACCAAGCGCCCCGCTCATTTGGTACTGATACTCTTTCGCTTGAGTAACATCCTCTTCCTTGGGAATGGCAGTCTCAAATCCCTCTCTCCACTGATCACCTTCGACCTGAGCGCGTAACGGAACCCAAGGCTCCCCAAACTTATCATCGTATTCACGGTCGTGGTCATCCTCATGGACATTGTCATCATCGTCATCATCATCATCGTCATCGTGATATTCATCATGGGTCTCGTAACTATAGACATTTCGTGGTGCACGGGCGTAGTCTTCCTCAGTGGAGTCAAATAACGAATCGTTGTTATTATAATGTTCCCTCTGGTACACCGAGGGAGAGTAAACGGGATCGGCATCGTCCAGCTCGCTGCTGGGACTCAACCGGTCCCGACTGCGGGAGTGGCTCGGCATGCAGTGCAGCCGGGAACTTTATCGGAACGAATAAGAGGCGTAAAGGAATAAAGGAATGTGGGCGTCAGATAAAGTAAATTAATCAAATCCAATCGGCAGATCCGGGTGTGCCGGGGCGAGAACACTGTGTGGAATGTTGGGTTGCCCCGCCGGTCACAGTCTAGAACTGCCACCGTCCCACGCTGACGGAGTGCCCCTGAAGGAGAACAGTGGACGGAATGTACGGGAAATCGGGTGAGATGGGATACGATCTCCGGAGTATGGCAAATTAATTAGCTGAGCAGTCTCGGGGTAACCAAGACGGGATCGCCAGGAACCGGGAGCAATTGAATGAATGAAAGAGAGAAAAAGGACATGTCAGCTGGAGGCGGCGGCGCGTCTGGCGATAAACAGAAATTCGCCCGATTTGAAACCCTTTTTGTATTGGATTTGCTGTTTTGGGTCTAGTGCGGAGAGGGTCGTTTTTGGGGTGTGGCTGGATTGGGACTAGTGCGGGCTATTCAGGGACTGGACCCTGGGGAGTTATCACCTGACTGGCTACATTATAGACCTTCTGTACTTCGGAGGTGTTCTAGAACAGTATTATTCCATTGATATATATTTTGTTGCACATAATATTGTTGCTACAATCCCTCTTTTCACCCAAGCACTTAGTACTTGGTGTAACGCAGGTACGGCTTCAGCTCGCGCACCTCGCCAAACTTCTTCTTGGCATCCTCAGTCGACACCGAAGGAGGAACAATCACATCCTCGCCCACCTGCCAGTCAATGGGAGTGGCAATGCCCTTGCGGTCAGCAGTCTGCAGAGAGTCGATGACACGCAGGACCTCGGCCGAGTTGCGGCCAGTGGAGGCAGGGTACGACATGGTGAGACGGATCTTCTTCTCGGGGTCGATGATGAAGACGGAGCGGATAGTGAATGGGATGCCCTTCTCAGCAATGTTGTCCAAGTCGCGCTGATCAACCATGTCGTAAAGGAAGGCGACTTTGCGGTCGGCATCGGCGATGATAGGGAACTGAACGTTGGTGTTGGCAACCTCGTTGATGTCATCAATCCACTGGTCGTGGGAGCTGAGGTCGTTGGCGCTCTAGAGGTTCATTGACTGTTAGCGGCAGACCCGAAATTCTATTACCAGACCACTCACCAGACCGATCATCTTGACGCCTCTCTTCTCAAACTCATCCTTCATCTTGGCGAAAGCACCCAGCTCGGTGGTGCAGACGGGGGTGAAGTCGGCCGGGTGGGAGAAGAGAATGGCCCAGCTGTTGCCGATGAACTCGTGGAAGTCAATCTCGCCATGGGTGGTAAGGGCCTTGAAGTTGGGGGCTACGACGGTTAGTATGGGTGCGATTTGTGAAGGATAATTGGATAGGTAGACCTACCGGTCGATCCAAGACGCAGACGAGGCTGTTCCTGGGGAATGGTTGCAAGGAACCGGCGAGTGAGGGGCTGAACGCGGGGCTGCACGCGAGGGAGCTGTGTGAAAGACACCCGAGGCAGAGGGGTGGCTCTGGGCAGAGCAGTCAAGGCGCGGAAGCCAACACGGGGGAGAATTGATGCCATTGTGCTTGATCTGGAGCAATTGAGATGGGATGAGGAGAGAAGAAGCGTTCCGAGAGCTTCCACTGCTCCAACAAGCTGTTTGCGTGATTGCATCAGTGGGGGAACACTAACCGGATCCGGCTGCTAGCACGTGCTGATTCCTGAGGCAGACCCGGATATTTGGCATACTTTCTGCCTGAGGAATTCAAGCGCTTAAATGTTTAGCCCTCTCTACATTGTCTGCTCAGAAATCCACTCATCCTCTAGCAGCTCTTTAGCAGAGCTACGCTTGTTTAGATCTCATTGTAACGTCTTTCGCACCAAGCTTAAGGAACTGATCTTATCCATACCGTCAAGAGATGTTTCCCAATCCTCGAGTGGTATCCGACCTCCTAGCAGAAATTGGGCTAAAAGGTCACCTATGAAAGTCATATAGTGAGCGATTATCATAGTACGCAGCTAACATGGACACTAGCTTAGCATCATCCGAAAAAAGAAGTAGATCTGCTCGGATTTGGGTGGACAGCCAAGTCAGAACGCGTGGACAGGAATTGTTTAGATGGGCTTGTTTCCGAATGGTGTTTTGACTCCGAAGCCGAGAGCCGAGACTCAGATATATAACAACAATGATGCAGTCAAGCAGTCCAGATACCACATTGAGCAGCCTCAATCTCTTTCTTGTATTCGAGAATTGATAGTCGGAACAAATCATCATTATCATGGAAAAGCTTGAATCGCCCAAAGCGGCCAACGCGCAGATCAATGGGCAGAATACAGCCTATACTACGCCGCCGAATGGTGGTCTCCAAGCATGGCTGCAGGTGACAGGCTCGTTCTTCCTATTCTTCAACTCATGGTACTATTTTCATGCTACCACGCTATACTTCAAAGTACTCTTCTAATGACCACCTTCGCGAACCACAGGGGAACGGTCAACACATACGGTGCCTTCCAAGCCTACTATGAACTCGGCCTGCTTAAGGACCAGTCCAGCTCAGACATCTCCTGGATTGGTGCCATCCAAGCTTTTCTTCTCCTCCTAATAGGAGTCATTACCGGCCCCCTATACGACTCAGGATACTTTTACGTTCTCATCCTCACCGGCTCCGCCCTCGTCGTAGTCGGATTCATGACACTCAGCGCCTGCACCTCATACTGGCAAGTCCTCCTCGCTCAAGCGTTCTGTATCGGACTCGGGAACGGATGTCTCTATATTCCGTCTGTAGCCATGATTCCACAATACTTCTCCTCGCGGCGTCCAATTGCCACAGCCCTAGCCGCGTCGGGAAGCAGCCTCGGAGGTGTTCTCTATCCTCTAATATTCCGTCAACTCCAGCCTCGCATCGGCTTTGGTTGGGCCACACGAACCATCGGGTTTATAGCTCTCGCAACGACTGCCTTTTCCCTGTCTGTCATGCGCGTGCACCAAACCCCCAAGACCAGACGCGTCTTGACCGAATTCTCTGCCTTCAAAGAGATTCCTTACTCCTTATTCTGTGTGGCTATGTTCTTCGGTTACATTGGCTTCTTCAACCCTATCTTCTACATCGAAGCTTACGCCATTAAAGAGCATGTTATAGGCGAGCCCCTCGCTTTCTATCTTGTCTCAATCCTCAATGCTGCATCCGTTCCGGGGCGAATCGTTCCAGGGTTACTAGCCCTGAGACTCGGCCCATTGAACATACTTCTGGGAAGTGCTATCATCAGTGGCGTGTTGTCGCTATTCTGGATTGCTATCACGGACCCCGGCGGCTTAATTGCATTCGCAGTCCTCTATGGATTTTTCTCCGGGGCTTTTGTTGCACTTCCCGCTGTGGCTTTGACCTCCCTCACTCCGAACCTTGAAACCTTGGGAACGAGACTGGGTATGTGTTCGGTGTTGTGTGGGTTGGGTTCCCTATGTGGTTCACCTGTTGCAGGTGCCATTCTGGATAATACGGGGTCGTATCTGGGTGTCCAGCTATATTCAGGGCTTAGTATTGGAGCTACGGGTGTGCTGCTGCTTTTTGCAAAAATGTCGAAAAAGGACTGAAGGACCTAGTTAATGGGAATTAGTGTACTCCAGTAATGTTGATTCTTTGTCCTCTTTGGAAGGAGTATTCTTTTAGTTCACATTCAATCCATTCCAATGAGAGTTGTAGAGGTAGCACATTGGTCTTCGCGCAATTTATAGTATACTATATAGCTTGCTAAACATGAATATAAAAATATACTAGCCAACAACGATTCAATAGATTAGAACATCAAAAATACTGTAGTCATTGACTTCCCTCTCCCTGAAAATTTCTGGCCTACCCAAACTATATACTCGGGATTACATACCCGTAATCCATGCCACTAACATACAAACTTAAGTTCAGAGCATCTATCTGTTGCTCATCGTAACTACCAAGGGCAGAGTGGTCGTAATCCGACGTGGAAAGATCGATTCCCTTCCGACTTGATAGTATACTCGGACCTCAAGCTCGTAGCTCCGGCCCACCATACATGAATGAAAGGTGGGTACAAAAGGTGTGTCAGGGGAGAGACTGAAAGACATCGGAACAAGGGTGTCATACTTCATCTCAATCTGTGGATCCGTTTCTGTGAGGCATGGCGTAGCCTCCCATGTTGTATTGGACATGTCTTGGGTGGCGATTTGCAGAGTCTTCGTGTAAACGCTGGATTGGTGACTTCGGGTTTGATAAGCGATATCCGGGCTTGGAGACAGACTAAAAACTGTCGATGCACGTATAGAAATAGTCAGACGATGTAACCGAGGACAAATCCCCGAGGCTGAATAGTACCGGAGTCGAAGGGGAATAGTAGCCTCCGTAGGTCTTTGTCGGTGAAGGTGCATGGTAAGCGGTCCCGCATGCAGGATCTTACCGACGAGGCGGCCTTCCTTTCTCCGGAAGATGTTACGCACGATTTGGGCCTTCATTAGGGATTCATGATTTTCCAGAGCCAGTTGAGAAGGCTTATCCGAGTTATTGGTTGCAGGAGTGAAGGCTGGGGGTGGCCTCTCTGACGAAGGTGTGGGAATGATATAGATCTCCCTAATAGTGCTGAGCTCCGGTTCCTGGTATTGCTGACAAGCTTGCAGAGTTGCCTTGATGCAGTAGCGAATCTCTACCGCATTTGGGGTGAGGATGTCGGCTTTCTTGCTTCTTGGGGCACATGGAGTTTTGCCCCCAAGAGAAGGAGGCAGCGCTGTATGCGCATATCGCACGAGTGGATCGGACACGACATGGCTGCATGATTCAGTGGGCAGAGCCGATGGGATGAAGAATGTAAATGGGAAAGTCCCAGGAGAATCGACTCGCGTCTTCTGGCTGAGACGCAGAAAAGTCTGGGTGCTCTGAAGTTTGACTCCTACTTCATGCTGCATGAATACTGTGGTTGTTCCTGTATTAAGCGAAAAATTAGCAGTGTCTCTCCAATAGGCGATGTAAGGACTTTACCTTCAAGCATGATCACCAGATCGGAGTAGTGGTTAGTTTTCTCCACATGAATACTGATCTCGCCTGAGATCATATCCCCATTGGAGAACACGCATAATGCATCACCTGAATTGCCATGCATATGTACCTGGAGTTTGGATCTTGCCATTTTCCTGAATAGACCGTTGGGGATATTGGAATGGCATGTCGGTTTCGAGTCGTATACATGGATATATGCTGTTTAGCCGTAAGGTACGGATATCGGAATCGGCTTTCGGCTGTACGAAATAATTAATAGGAACCCAGAGACGAATGAAGCACCACCCAATGACCAGCTTAATTACCAGGATCTTGAGGCCTTACGGAGAGGCTTATCGGGGCAGAGCCAATCGGGAATGATTATGGTAATCCCGAACGCCGAGTGGCTTTCCGGCACTAACGACTAGCATTATCTACACCGACGCTGTGGAAGTTCTTTGATTTGTGTCGGTGCTATCTGGTAACCTTTGGTGCTATGCCTTCTCTGCGGCGGCGCAACGGTCGCAGGGCTGCCTGTGAGGCCTGTCGCAGACGGAAATTAGCTTGTGACCACAATCAGCCGACATGTCAACGATGCCAGAAGCATTCCCTTGAATGCATATACCTGTCACAGTCAAACAGCACGAGATGCGCGACCTCGGAGGAAACTCCGCAATCACTTGTAGGACCAGGTGTCCCCTTTCTTGAGGTGCATGTAGCATCCGCAGAGAACCACGGGGTTGAGGACCGGAGCACGCCCCTCATCGAAAGCTCGAACGAATACCTGGGGCCAACGAGCTTCACCTCGGTATTTGTGGAACACGGAGATTGCTTTGAGTTAGAGGATGCCAACAAAACTTCAGGAATACGACGAGACTCGGCTCCAGCTCCCCAAGTTGACACACCACTTGTGCAGCTCGGCGCTCGTATTTTGAGCCATATACCGGAAGAGCGCAACTGCTCCATGCTCTTCTCAAGCCACATCAATCCCAATGATGGCTGGGTCCGGCTGGCAGGGCATCACTCGTCAGACAGAATGTGGAATGCTTTTCGGCCGGCGCTACGACGACGGTCGGAAGAAGATATGCTGGGAACTGCTGCGATTCTCACCCGTAATAGCAAAACACCGCTACAAAATAAACAGGATCCGCAGGCTTGGCTGGCCTCCTTTACAGGGGCACAGATGCGATGGGAAACTCTTGGCATTTTGTATACCTACTGGGCTTGCGGAGCAATCTCCTCGTCGTCGGAGAGTCAAGCGGTCGCCGAATATTGTCAGGCACATTCATCTGTTACGAATGCCAAACAACTGATGACGCACTTCAAACGCTGTGCATCGTTATGTATTGATCTGTGCAAACAGCTTGGCTCCATCAATCTTCTTTTTGTGTATCTGTTGTACAAGCATAATATTCTGGAGGGCATTCTGAGCGGTGACAAGAGTAGGTGGCACTATAAATCAGATATGCCTCTTGTCTAACCCTAGTAAGGTTTCTCCCATTGGACACAGCATGGCGAGTTAGTGGCCGTGACTACTTCTCTCGGACTTCATCGCGAGCTTGCAACAGAGGCAGAAACTGTGAGTCTCCCATTCGAACTGAAAAGGAGGCTCTATGCCGCCGTTTTCAACATTGACAAGGTCATCTCAACTTTCACTGGACGACCCCCTCTCTTGAGTCTGGCATATTCATCTACCAGACTGCCACTAGATCTGAGTGATGATGCCCTACTATCTAGCGATCTTCCGTCTGCCGCTGCGCAGTTAGACTCCCGCGGATGGAACCAAGATAAGCAGATCTACTCTACAACAATCTTACGATCGCGCACGAGCTTCGCCCGTATCCGACATGAGGTCTTGGAGGTTTTAGACAGTTCAATGGATAATTTGGCTGAGGGTGCCGTCGATAGGGCTATGTACGTTACTCCAAGCCACGCACATACCTTCTAACATTAGTAATAGAAATTTGAAGCAACGGTCCCATGAAACATACATGCAACTTCCATCGGTGATTCAATTTTTGAAATCTGAGCTCGACAACACCAATGTTCCCGGATATGTCCTCTATGCACAGATCCTCACGCGTTTGGAATTTCTCTTGAACCTGTTTCTCTTGGAACGGCTGTTGAAGCGACACAATATCGTCACCGGGCAAGACCTTGTCGAAGTGAGCCATGAAATGCTGGACTTGACCTTGCTCTTCTGGAGGAAGAAAGAACGATTTGTTGGTCTGTATGCTGACTTTGAGTGGCTGGTACGTAATCGGGTTCCCTGTATCTATGATACAACTCGAAACATTTTTTTTTATCTCTAACACAACTATAAGACAATGTCGTACGCAATCCCAGCAAGTGGCATCCTCTGTCTGGAGCTCCTTCGACAGGCCACACACCCGCAAGGCTATCAAATGCACCTTCCACGATCACCAATCATTCAGAACCTTAGCCTACTGGTGGTATGCCTGGACTGGATCGAGACGGAGGCTTCCTGCAAGAGCATGGTATGTTCCATACGGAGGATCCTGAGTCGGTCTCTAGACCGGATATTGAATCCCGACCCCCCTGGAGCTGAGCAGTTGCAGTCAGTGGCACCGTTCTTGGATGATGAGCTCCCGCAATTTCCGCATTTGGAGCTGCTGAACACCTTTGATTGGGTTGATTGGGATGGAGGTATTGGTGGATAAAACTCAGAAGAAAGGGAGTAAGGTTATTCAGACCCAACTGGATTACTGTCCTAAGGTGAAGGGCTGTAGAACGAGTCTACTTGTCAGGCAAACGACATGATAAGCTCCAGCTTATAGTCAATTTCCTGAGTAAACTCGTAAAAATCAAATTCGAGCGGATGGTTAATGGGCCAGATCTGAAGGTCTAGGTCAGAGGCTGTATGAAGGGGGACGACCGCGAGGTGAGAGGCTTCTTCATATTATCAGGCGACTTTGATATTGTACAAATGAGTCAAATTAAGAACGTTGTATGCTCATGTCTCCTTCAATTTTCCCTTCATTAGCCATAGCTCTAATATCCAAACACTACTAAGGGCCCCGATATATCTGCCGTCGGTAGCTGTCATTGTTTGGAAGGGTACCCTAAAATTTCCTAGCAAACCGATCGCTACAGTCCTTGTCATTCCTAGCCGTATTCCATTCCATTTCTGGAATACCTGCAGGTGCGAGTCCGACCAACCATCCATTCTAAAGATCTGCTACGCAGGCTCTCTTAAGCCCTAAAAATTCTTACCACAGTGACATTATTGATAACTATACTGAGGCACCCCGCAACTGAAGACACTACTCCTACGGTTCATTTTTCATCAATTATTCTTGTTTCTTTTGTTGTGCTGATTTCCTTATCACAAACATTTTCGCCATCATACCATTGTGCTTCGCAAGCTTTAGCCTGGGCTCTACCATAACTGCGAGAGAATTTCTGGGTATTGTATTGCGCTGAGGATACGAGTCACCAGCATCTGCACGCGTCTACGAAAGGAATTTGAGCACATACTAACCTCGACCTCATTCCTACTGAATCAACCAATCGGCCGCATCGCCTCAGTTGGGTTATTCTCAGGCAGCTTAGAGTTGAAGACTAACTTACCGAGAAAGGCTCTCACCTCAAGCTCAGATTCCACAGCCGGGGGACAGACATAGCATCTCGATCAGGGTTCCTGCATATAAGGCAGGACCGAAGGAAAAGCAACTCAGGGTTTAGATATACGTCGACTTGGCAGTAGATTGGATGTGGTCCCCTTGATCGGGTTGAACTATCCTATCTCAATATTTAAACAGCAGACATACCTCACACGAGGCTCACAGCTCATTCCAAACTGATACAGACCCCAGGGCTAACTAAGCTGGACCTCTGTCTCTTTACTCTTCCCTCTTCTCTACCTACATATATCCTTCTGTAGCTTCTGCCCCTCTACTTTCTTAACCTGAAGTACTCTACTCCGCCACCCACCTCTCTCATAGGGTACCCTCTCATCTACAACTACTATCCACCAATCACTACCATCAACCAAGCACTACTTTCTACCAACGAACACACGACTACTCGACACTCTCAAGCTCACTCAAACCCTTACAACCAGCTTAATCACCGCTCAATCTTTACGTCACGTCGACATCGCACCCTGACCGATCAATCTTCACATCCTCCCAGAGCCAGTTTTTGAACATGTGCACCAATCTGCAAATTGCGTTCTCCTGCGGCTGTCAGAAAGAGATGGACTTCATTCAGTGTAAGGAACGCCAGGGAACGAATGTCAGGTGCAGCCCCTCCATAAAGGCGTTGGGAAAAACCTCGCCAAATTATTGCCGGCGCCATCTCGTACCTCCCGGTGCGCCGACGACCTACGTTGAGAACAAGGAAGTGCAGGAAGGCGACGAGATTATGGCTACTGAATAATGAGAAGTGGTATGTATATGGCTTCCTCATTTGTATTGCTTGGCTATCATGATATGTGCTGACTTCAAGTGTGTTCTAGGAATCTCCATCTACTTGGTTTTGGTTGGTCCGTTGAGGTTGGATATATCGGAAGGTTTGGAGAGTCCCAGGGCTATGCATAGTGCAAGGCTTTTAGTCTACTTTGGAAATTAGGAAAGAGTTATTGGAACGTTGATATGCTGCTCATTGTGATCTTTCCTCATCTAAGCATCGTATACGAATGCGCTGGAGGAACTATAGGGGAGGATAGCTTTCAGATTCCCCTCACCACCACCTTCATGATAAGTCAAACATCTTTTACGTGCTATCAATGGAATGGACTCAATTGAGCATTTAACTGAACTGGACCACGTGTCGTAGGACTATCCTCTCCTTCATTCTATCTTCTTCAACTTCCTCCTTCCTTTCCTCCTTCGTTTCCTCAAGAACCCAGACTGTGCCACATCTCAACAGAAAAAATCAACATGAACACCCCAAAAGTACAAACTTCCACTTCTCAACATGATCTCATCCCCGAAGATGAGATCATCGAGCTCACCACCTACCACCGCCGCGACTTCGACCTAGCAGTCATCCACATAAACCGCCGCGCCCACGAACCCGTCCGCAGCACTATAACCCAACCCCTCAAAGCACCCTCCACAAGCCTAGGCCAGCTAGATGTCCTACATCTAGAACTCATCCACGAAATCTGTCTCTACCTCGACATCGAATCCCTCATTCGATTCCGCCAAGTCAGCCGCCGCGCCCAACAAAGCGTCGGCACTAGCCGCTTCTACCGGGAGACAACAACACACGCACTCGACGCACTCTGCACACTTCTAAGAACCAAAGTAGGAAGCCAGTTCACCCTTACCGAGCTGTTCACTGCGCTCTGTACGCGCGACTGTCTCCTCTGCGGCAGCTCATTCGGAGGCTTCCTCTTCCTCCCGACCCTCCTCCGCTGCTGCTTTTCATGTATCCAGAAGGATCGTCTGCCCCGGCTCGTGCCTTACGCTGATGCGAAATGGTATATTTCGTCGAAGTGTAAGACAGCTTCGAAGACATATAGCTTACTCAAGTCTCTTCCGATTCTTCGGACCATCCCGGGGATCTACTCCATGCAGGAGTTATCGAGCAAGGGAAGGAGACAACTAGTGACTATGGACGATCTTATCCGGGTAGTTGGGTCTAAGCCTACTAGTGATGAAGAAGCTACTTGGACTGCGGCTAAATCATATTCCAACTTGCCATTCATGGCGACGACTACCTTACCTTATCTTGATCGGGTTAGTGGGCACATCGAGCACGGTGTTTGCTGCACTGGATGCCAGGTTTCTCTGGAAGAGGGTCTTACGAAGGGAATGCGTTTTGGGGCTGATGGCTTGGTTTTGCGTGATAGGATTTATTCGCATGAAGGGTTTATAGGGCATTTTAGAGAGTGTCTGAAGGCCCAGGAAATGTGGAAGTTGCGGAAGAATGGGACATCTGTTGCGAAGATTTCGGAGTTTGTGCGGCGCAGAGGGTATTTTAAGCAGAGGGACGTCGTTATGTCGTTTGATCAGGCCAAGTGAAGGCATAATTTATGTATTATGAAATATCTTTCGCTGGTCTGTTGGACCACTTAAATTACTATTTAAATACAGAGAAGTACCGAATCAAATGATAATTACAACGACATCACCTCGCTTGCCGTTGCTTCCCCTTCTCTAGGCCGACTGTTCCGAACAAAGAACTTCGATCTACTCCATCCCAGGATGGCATATCAAATTGGGGAACAATCCAATTGGTGCCAGTCTGTCTAGTAAAGAGGCAGGCTGTATGCATTAAAGTCATACTGCCAGGTGTCAATCGAGGCCTGGTCGTACACACATTCCATGACCGTGCCATTGTTCTTCCACAAGGGCCGGAGGGGCCAGGCGCAGATCTGGGCATTGCTACCCTTCTCCTCGCCCGAGAGGTAAGTCGCGTTCAAGGTAACGGGCACCACTCCGTTCTCAACCCAGTCAATCATCACCGCCATGTTATCCTGGGGCCAGGGTCCCGGCTCATAGGCGTTGGTCGCGCAGTGGCTGGCGCCAGGGACCAGGTACAGGCGGTAGAAGCTAGCCATGGCGTCCGTGCTCTGGTTGTAGCTAAGATCCGGATACATGATCTTGCGGACAGACTCGTGGTAATGAACGGAGGATCCGGTCGGGATACTGGGGTCCGACTCGCCGTGGTAGTGGATGATCTTACCACCGGCTTCTTTGAAGGTGCTCAGATCAGGGTAGGTAGTCTGTAGGGAATCACCATAACGGCGCCAGCCCAGCTCCATCCAATCGCGGAGGGTGTCGTATGTGACGTTATCCAGGCTCGAGAGGTTATCGGCTTCGACTAGTTCCAGGAAACGGGCGACCCACTCGCCGCTGAGCGCGTCGATGTCGAGCTCATAGCTGTCGGTATCGCTGTTGTACTGGGTCTCGGCGTCACTGAAGGCAGAGGTGATCTGGAACCAGATGTAGGCCCGCTTGCCATCTAAAGTGTGGAGACCCTTGAGCATCGTGGCGGCGGCCTCGGCGCCCTTAGCACTCACCGTGCCGTTCTGGGCCGGGGTGGTGTTGGAAACAGTCAGGCGCTTGGTGTGGGCGGATCGCTTCTTCAGATTCTCACTGGTGGTCTCGGCGGCGCAGTAGTAGGGCTCCCCGATGGTGGAGTTGAGGTCAAAGTGCAGCTGGCAGAGGTCAGTCCGCGCGACGACGCCGTCCTTTCTACCGTCCAGCTCGTCACAGGCAGCTATCGTCAGGTTCATGATCTTCTCCAGTTCACAGGGCGGGGGATAGTAGCCGAGCGTCTGTTCAACCACGTTGGGGAAGAGGTGGTTGACCTGCTGCTGGCCGTAGCGGATCGCCGGCGCTCCGATGATAGCACCATCCCACTCCTCGGGGAACCGTTGCACCTGGCTCCAGCCCTCGCGGCCGCCCTCGGAGCAGCCCATGTAGTAGGAGTAGAGCTTGCTACTGCTCGCGGTAGTGTTGAAGAAATTCTTGTTGAAGGCCTTGCCGATAACGCTGAGCTCATGGTGTGACTGGTAGCCGAAGTTGTAGATCGCATCCCAGTTGATCGTGCCGTTAGCGCTGGGGAATACAGCGTCAAGGTCGGTCGTGAAGGCTCCAAAACCTCCATCTGTGATACCGGCGGCAGCACCGTAGAGGAGACCGGCAGGCATCAAGTCCCCCTCCAAGTTGATGGCGAAGCCACCACCGCCCGTGGACAGCCACCGGTTCTGGTAGGCGTCTGGAGCGGGCAGCCAGATGCCGAGCAGAATCGAGTCGTCACGGCCGGCGTGCGAGTAGGCAAAGGTTACGTTGCAATAGTCGAAGGTGCCATCCGGGTAGAAGGTCTGGTCGCTCACGGAGACGTTGTAGACGGGGCTGGCGGTCACCGAGCTGGTCTTGATCTCTAGTCCAATGAAAGCATCCAGAGGCAGGGAGGACTGCACGTGCGAGACGGTGCAGACATCCGCAAGCGACATCGTCTGTGCGCCGGCAACAAGCCCGGCAGCAGCGATGCTGCCTGCCAGCTGAGTGGACTTCATGATTGTGAAAACGAGTGGCAGGAAAACGAGAGAAAACGACTGCGAGTGAGTCTGTGTGATCTGTCTGTGTGATAACATAAATCATTGTAGCAAGCCGATGTTTATATACCTGTCTCAAGATGTCCTCAGCATTGCACTGGCGAGTATAGAGGCCGGTCCTCCTAGAGTCTTCCCATTTCGATATCCGTGAGGAAGCATATCGTGCTCCTGTGATCTCGCAGTCCCGCCCAGGACTCCTCGCGGTCCCGCTCAGGACTTCCCACGGTTTGGCAGGTTATATTGGTGCAGGAAGGAAACGATATCTCATGATTGGCCTAAGATCCAGGTACAAGCTCACGCATGTGGTGCCACACGGTACTATCCGATTAGATAGAAGGTAGGGCTGACGCGGCAGCGAAGCTTGTTCGGCGAGCATACTTTTTAGGGTGAACGGAAACGATGATATACCGCTTTCCGAACGCCATTCAAGCATTGATCTGCAGATCAATCATGGTAAATCGGAGAGCTTTCTTCAGGCACGGGTGGTAAGGTGGCGGAGACTAGTCTCTTTGCAGGCAAGATTGACATAATGAGACCCGCAATATATTTTCGGGCGGTGGTTCGATTCACCTTAATATCAGATAAACTTGTTGTCAAATATGTATTAAGCTCTCTAGACCATGTCATGGGACGAACCTAGCGTCATCCGATTAAAGCTTTGCGAAATAGAGACGCTCATCAAGTGGGTCGAGTTGTCATAGGCTGACAGGCTTGCAATTAAGTGCGATAGTGGCAGATGAGATACCGCCTCAACGCGAGTCATTCTGATTGTTCATCAAGGCTCTATCGCCCATTGCATCTTGCATCCTCCTTTCATGAACATCAGCTCGCACGGGTAATTATTGCCGCGCCAAGTGCCTCCGACTTAAGAGCCGAGTTTCCTAATTGGTCGGTATATATATTGCTCTCCTACCTGTCCACTAGATATTGATCTGCTTCCCGCCATGTATAAGTCAGGACGAGAAAAGAAAAATGATAAATAGGAACAAAAATCACCTCACACGTTTGAGCTATTGATTATAATATTCCGGAACGAATCACCCCTCGCGAGTGAATTGCTGATCACTTTCCAGTCATCGAGGACTATGACTATTTCCGTCTAGCCTATCTTGTGCACATGCAAACTACTCCTGAAGTATATGTTCAATATACCCGTGCTGTCTGTCCCAGCCCGGTATCGACCCTTCTAGGTAAATGAAACCAAAGGTGACGCTGTAACAACATGTGCGCTCAACTTCAATATACTCATTGAAGTCAAATCTTCCAACGTAATCGTTGTGTCGAGTTCTCTTTCCAGCCAATTCCGGAACTCCATCTCAATCAATGAGTCGACCCCATTGGTCCGAATATCACGCAATTCGTTAATCTCGTCTTCGGTGACATTAAGAAGGTTCGACAGTTTCTGTCGAATCTCTCTCGACACGACAGCAGCTGCCTGTTCGGTGTTGTTGGTCTTGTTCAGGAGGTCGCCCACACTAGGTCTTCTTGCGGATTCTGTTGGCATGCTTGCCACTCGTGAACGGAAGCTAGGAAGTTGATGGAACAAGGGGGCGGACAAATATCTCATTACTGGCTTTTCTACTTCTTCGCATGATGCTGGGGTTGGGACATTGCAGACCATCTGACAGGAATCCACGGTTGGAGGGTTTCGAATATCCGTCATATAGTCGACTGCCGCTAAGATTTCCTCCTCTTTCATGTCCCGGACGTTGACACTCGCAGCGTGCAAGCCATGTGAGAGTCTATGACGAACCAATGCACCTTGGAATGTACCGGCTGCGCTAAAGTCGCTGTCATTAATACTTCCTGTAAGCTCCGACATCGATGAGATCATGATGAAGAAATCAACAGATGGGATGGCATTGTGCAGATTAAGCAACTCCATGATGACACTATTAGAGCTGCTTGTTGAATGCGTGGCAACAGTTTGATTAGAAGCACCCATGCAATATGTCGACTCAAGAATTCCATGGATAGGGGGAAGCTGACTGCGCCAGTCGGCAATCAGAGACTGTATTTCAGACGCCTCAGACATGTTGCAGTGGTATATATGTGCCTCGCATCCTTGCTCTCGCAAGGTATCAAGAATCTGCTGTTGTGGATCCTCCGTATCCAAGTCCCGTGCACGAGACAAGAGTATCAGGTTCTTAGCACTTCGATCTGCCATCCGAAGAGCGAGCTTGCAATGCAAGGCGTCGAGTGCACCGATGAGGAGGTAGGTTGCATGTTGTTCCAACGGAGATGGTCTCGGAATTTCAGGAACAACCTGAACAACATCCTCAGAAGGACGAAGAACAATTTTTCCAGCATTTGCTTCCTTCCGGAGCATCTCGATACCCTGATGTATTTGGCTATACGTCAGAACTCGTCTAGGAGGTTCAAAACGAATCTTATATTCCTCCATTAGCCGCATCGTCTCTCGGAAAATATTTTGGATAGTTGTCGGGCGGCTCCTGGCGATAGAACTGAGGTTCACTTTTGATATCGTGATGTTATCCATATTGCATGACGCAGAGATGTTGTGGACTGACTGCGGCCCGCCATTGCCGATGGCTATCAGTCTGCCAAAAGGTGCCAGACAATTCACTGAACCTTGAGTAGTCCCGGTGGTTATATCTGATATGATGACATCCATCCCACACGGTATTCGTCGCTTGATCTGGGCCGGGAAGGAAGTAGGACGGCTGGAGAAGATACGATCTCGCTGAACTCCATATTTCCGTGCGACATAATGTTTCTCGTCGACGTTGGAGACTGTCACGAATACATTTGCACCGAGAGACTGGGAATACTGGATTGCCGCCTGCCCAATACTACTCGCAGCAGAGTGAATCAGGATATTCTCGCCAGTGATCAACCTACCGGCGTAGCTGATAGAATAGATCGCTGTAAGCCAAGAGACAGGTAATCCAGCAGCAGCCTCGAAGGTAAGGCTGTCGGGGATACGGGTGACCAGAGAGGAGTTTATCCGTATCGTTGTCCTCAGCGTTCCTTCTCTCCCTGCTTGAGTGTCACTGATACACATGACGCGGTCGCCGGTCTGAAAATCCTTAACGGATGATCCGACCCTGATTATCACCCCAGAAGCTTCTTCTCCCAGGGTCATCTGAGGAAGCTTTCCTGTCGCTGCTCGGACGTCTCGAGAGCCAAGGCCGACGGCTTTAACGTCCACCTCCACGTCATTCTCACCCAGCATATTGTCGGAGAGAAGGTTATCGGTCTCCCAGACAAAACGGCCATGACCTATGAGTTTAATTGGCCGATCTATGTCGCCCCACGTAAGTGGAACTGGCCGTGGTGCCGATAGTCGACCCCCAATGGTGGAATTGGCATCGGCGTTGAGAGCAACACGGTTCGTAAGAATGACCCCCTGTGCAAGGCGATACTCGGCATTTCTGATCGTAGACACGGTACCTGACAGAAATTGGTGCTCGAAAACTCTGACCAAAAGTTCGGAATTTGTATTCCGGGTAACCTCTGTATCGGTCAACGAAACAGTAACAAGGTTCGAGTTGTCAGGGTCCTGCTGCAATCGTCTGTTTCGAATAAGTCCGATTGGAATATCGAATGCTGGGTTATTTGCTGAATCTCCAGTCACGAATAAAATGTTCTTGCTCTTGAAGAGGATGTTTTCTAGCTTGTTGTATGATTTAATGTTCGAATCTGTTGGGATAAGAGGATTGGACACCATGAAAAGCACACATGTCTTATCTAGCACATCCATAGCTTCCATTTCCGCCAGTGTGTGTATGGAGCAATGAGGCCCCAGATATTCTATCTGGCTCTGGAACTCATGGGCCAGAGTAGAGCTTTCATCATCCGCGATGATGATGATAACACTGTTCGCCTCGCTCCAAGAGATATTGGTTCCTTCTCTAGCAGTTGAGATCATAAGGCTAATTTTTGAAAACTCTGGATAATCAGAGCTCGGGAACTCCACGTCCAGCCCGGAAAAGCCAGACTCACGGAGATACCTATCCCATGTACTTGTTGGCACATAGGGACACCATCTTCTCTCAGGCTCGGTGCTCAGCCACCAGCCTGGCAGCGGACTGAACGATATGTTGGTCCACGAAGTATCTTGGCGGACACCTTCATGGAACACCAGCTTTCCACCGGGCTTGAGAAGACTGTGGATATTTTTCAATGTGCTATGTAGATTGGGAGTTGCATGGAGTACATTGCTTGCCACAATCAGATCAAATGTTCCTGGGTCAAACCCCTGGGATATGGGATTGTTCCCAACATCAAACTTCTTGTACGTCATGATATCGTCCCACCCATTCAGTGACTCCTTCGCTTTCGCGAAAAAGCCTGGAGAGAGATCAGTGAACACGTACTCCGACACTGACCTGTCCATACCCGGCGGACAGAGATTAGTGAGTGCATGCGCTGTGAATGATCCCGTTCCACCCCCAACTTCGAGTACGCGAAGATTGGACTTATGCCACCGGAAGAGATCCAAGTAGAGCGCTAGGTTCTCAGAAATAGATCCAATTTCGAAGTCATGTTTGTAGTACTGAGACATGAGATCATCTTGCCCGAACATGACGTAAAGTGGATCAGCTTCTTTGCGGAAGAAAGATGCAAGATTCGATCCAACCCGTATTAACAGTGCGCCATCGCTATCGCGAGCTTCCACTCTACGGTAGAGTTGTTCTCTAAGATCATGATCCTGAGCGTACTTCTGCCATGTTTTGAAAGGCACCCTTGGCATTGAGTCTGTCAGGACATCTGCAGCAATGCATTTGAGAAGGTCGTAGAACCGGAGGTAATGGGGTTCAAGTTGGGTCAGATCCACTCCCTTCAAGCTCACGAGCGCATCAGTCGAAAGAAGCGCCGAGGCCAGCTGGAGGTCGGTGAACCACTGGCATTCTACCTCGTATCTGGCGGATTCAGTCGTAGGCGGCTTGGTGACCTGGCCGAAGAATGAGTTTGTCAGAAGATGAATGTCAGGTTTCCATTCAACAGAGTAGAATTTAGGCAATAGATCTGTCTTTGAGGACTGGATCTTAGATTCATATAGATCAAAATGCGCCCCGCTGAAGGCTATCGTGGGTTCGGCAGACGAGGAGTCGATTGAAGCCTCAATATCGCAGCTATACTTGCCAAGACCCTTTGCTGTAGCTGTACCCACGCAATTGAATTTTGTGTGCAGGTCGTATGAAGTTTCGGTAGACACCCAGACATGCTCAATAAAGGAGGGCAGGAATGTTTTCATCGCCGTATTGTGTGGCTGCAAGTCGTGTATTGCAGCAGTAGCGGCTATTCCGAAATCGTTCAAAGTGACAGGGTGCAGTAGATGAGGATGCATGTAGTTCTTCGGCATGACAGAGGACACATCAGGTACTTGTATAGTTCCGATGCATCTTCCAGCCCTTTTACCGCTCACTCTTATGGACGATAGGTTCTGAAATATGGGCCCAAGTTCTAAGCCAGAGGATGAAAGACTTCTGCACATATCGTCAAACTTGACATGTCTCTCGCAACCATGTCTCTGGCCAGAGAGGTCTCCTTTGAGTTCCTCGGCTTTATTGGTATCTGCAAGGCCTGAATGAACCATGCCCTCATCGTCATAGCCAATACTAAAGTAGCCAGAGCAATGCTCAGTCCAGTCTTCTTGGCTTTCGTTGTATGAGCTGACTTGGAACCGGGTCAAGTCACTACCGTCGCCGTGAGGGTAATGTGATAAACTGATTTCGACTCCCTGGGCTTCATCCGGCAGTGCTAGCAAAGGACCCAGGGTAATTCCCTCCAAATGGAGACCCTTCATGGCCATTTCCCCACTGTTTACCTGCATTACAGATTCGATTGCCATGGCTATGTACCCAACAGGCGGGAACACGTATTGAACATCGAGCTAAATGAGATCAGAATAGAGAACAGATGTCATAAACGGGCTGCAAAGCTTATTCGCACCTTATACTGTCTGAGCCAAGGGTTCTCGCTGAGACGAAGGAAATGCCGCCACTTTGGATAACGCGGATTCCAGTCGGTAACTGGTGCTCCAAAGATATCATGTCGGGGATACTGTCGTAAGCGGAAATTCCTCGCAAATCGGCTTTCGTAAATGTCTTTTTTCTCGTGGTTGAAGGGGTAGGGCGGCAAGTCCACAAGTAAATCTGAGTCTCTATGCAGGTCGTCGGCATTATTCACACTCGGTATATCAACAGGGTATCCCTTAGAGGCAAGGTTTGCAACGGTCTGCAGAATGCCATCAGGGCCAGAAGCATTGCGATCTAAGGTTGAATGGTAGGTTATCCCTTGCGCCATGTCGATCGTTTCTGTGATGGCGCTTCGAAGTGCCCCGTGTGATCCAATCTCAATGAGCTCATCTATTTGCAGAGGGGTTTCGTGCTCCCCATTCGGCGAAGTTTGCTTTTCGGAAGAACTATAGCACAATGCCCGGAGAGCTTGTTCGAATTTGACGGGACTCACCATATTCGCACACCAATAAGAGGAATCCATAGATGGATCTAGAAGTATGTCACCTGTAAAGGTCGAGAACAAAGAGATAGGCTGGTCTCGAGAAACCGTGTTGCCCTGCTCCAATGAGCCCATGAAAGCCTGGTAGCTCTCGGTGAACACTTTCATATGCTCAGAATGGTAAGCCTTTCCCAGGTTTAGCTTTCGTGCAAATATTCGCTTTGCATCCAGCACGCTCTTGAGGGCATCGACCATGGCGCTGTCGCCGGATACTGTTTGGTTCTTCGGGCTATTAAAACATGCAATAGTCAATACCCCGTTCGGATCACTTTGCTGCACCTCTTCAAGATATGGTTGTAGGTCATCTGGGCTCAATCCCACAGCCATCATTGATCCTGGACGTGCTATTGAGCCATAGACAACCTGGCCACGGAAGAAAGCGACTTTCCATGCTGCCTGTCTGGAAATCTTGCCGGCACAGTACGCAGAAGCGATTTCTCCCGAAGAATGCCCCACGACACGAGTGGGGAAAATTCCCCAGCTTGTCAGTAGGTCAAGTAAAGCAATCTGGATTGCTGTTGACGCTGGATGTCCGATGGTGGGCTCATTTATTCTGGTGCTGTTCTTGTCCCGCCCAAGCTCCTCTGCAAACGAACGTAAGTACCCGAATATGGCAGATTCTGTTCGGTGTGCTACTAACCGAGTAAAGACCATTTACCGCCCAGGAACTGGAAATATCTTTCAGCAGCTTCGATTGATCTCCGAAATACCGGGTAAGCAAGGAGCTGTCGGCCCATCCCTGCATACTGAGCCCCTTGCCCAGTGAAGACGAAGCCAAGTCTGGGGGAGGCTCGCGCTTGTTGAGGCGTAAGCGAATCGTTGGCAAGCCGACTTTGTAATTGTGAAATGGAACTGGCTAGTAGGGATACTCTCCAATTGAATCGTGATCTCCGCGACAGCGTAAAGCTCAGATCATGCAGAAACTTCCTCTCATCCTCAGATGATAGTCGACCTTTCACATGTATGTATTCGGTTAAACCGGAAATAACCCGATTGAGCGAGTCTTTGTCAAATCCAGACAATATGAAGAGGGCCGTGGAAGACCGAGAGCCTCCAGCCGGATGAACACTCTCCTGGGATAGAGAAACCGGCATCGGCGATTTGGGGCTAAACGTAACTCTCTCCGGAGGACTGCCATCCCCTGTATGCGTCATATCTTTTATATAATCAAGTTCTTGCTGGAGAAATCGAAGCTCATCATGCGTTGGCACACCAATTCTTGTTCTATGTTTCGCAGATATCTTGTGTTTGCGGAGGAAATTGTATGCATCGTCAAGGATACAATGGAAATTGGTTCCACTCAACCCAAAGCAACTGACCGATGCACGTCGAAGCTTTGAGGTAGGCCATGCCTCACACTGAATGGGCAATCTGATCTTCCAATCATCCACTGGAATTTTGGGGTTTGGCTTCTCGAAGTTGGCGTTGGGCGGGATTATACCTGTCTCCAAGATCATAATGGTCTTGATGAGACCAGCAATCCCAGAGCCACCCTCCAGGTGGCCGATGTTTGTTTTCAGAGCACCAACGTAGAGCGGTAAGCCTCTTGTAGCTGTCTTAAAGCCACTGTTAATGGACGACGCTTCGACATAGTCCCCAGCCTGAGACAATCTCATCATTAGACGGTTATCAATTTCGCAGTCTCAAATTGTAAGTCTCACCTGCGTGCCGGTACCATGTGTCTCTATGTAACATGTGTCCTCCGTTTCTAGTCCTGCATTCTGATAAGTTGTCTCGATAAGTCTTACTTGCGCTCGTAAACTGGGGTATGTGATCCCCGGTGTGCGGCCATCCTGGTTTAAACCAGTACCGCGAATAACCGCTCTTATAGTATCACCATCCTCCAAAGCGCTTGGAAGACGTTTCAAAATCACCGTGCCTACTCCTTCACCGCGGGCATATCCATCGGCTCTGTGGTCAAAAGCGAAACATCTCCCTTCTGATCCCATGAAACCGGAATAGTCCATACCAACCATATGTGGGAGGAAACCAATAACATTCACACCGCTCACTATGGCCTAGAAAGAAGTTTGCATGATTAAAAAAGTTCCACAGAAGCTAACTTTACTACAATCTTGACATCTCCCGGAGGTGACTTACCATATCACTTTCATTTGTCTTCAAGCTTTGACAAGCTAGATGAAGACCAACGAGGCTGCCAGAACATGCTGTTTCGACCGTCAAACTAGGCCCACGAAAATCATAGAACCAACTGAGTCTCCCCGATATCATAGAGTTCTCGGTTCCGGTAGGTTTGTACTTGAGTATCGTCTCTGGGTCGGTGTTTAGGCTGTCCGCATGATCATGGTTGTAGCCATTCACAAATACCGAGGTGTTGGATGAAATGGCAGTCTCCATTGGAATTCCAGCTTCATAGTAATTCGTCAGCTGGGTCTAGCTATAGTTTCTCCATAATATGGCCTGATCTTTACTTACCATTCTCCAATGCGTGGTATACGTTCTCCATGACGAGACGATGTTGGGGGTCTAGGCTCAAGACCTCTGTTTTGCTCATCTTGAAGAACGCCGCATCAAAGCTAGCCGGGTCGTCTTTGAGAAAATGTGCCCTCTTGGCATGAATCTATAACGCCAGGAAACGAAACATTAGCCTCGCAGGCTCAAACAGCGTTTCCATACATACCGTTCCTCCATGGTCAGGATCAGGATGGTAAAATGCTTTCTGGTTGATTCTGTCTTCTGGAAATGCAGTGCTTGCTTCCCGGGCCTTCAACAGAAAATCCCAGAATCTCACAGAGTCACTGGCGTCTTGTGGGTACCGCACGGCATATCCTATAACAGCAAGAGAATCCATGATTTTTTCCTGGTGTTGGAAGCCTCTCAGTTTGATAGATTATTCTGTAAGTAGTGCGATTGAAGTCGATAGCGAGGTTGCATCTTTTTCTTACTTTTTTTTTTCAGAGATATTTGAGGACGTTTCTTTCAACATAGAGCATAGACGAGAGACTACTACGACACCTCCAGCACCCAATAGTTGTGGGTCAGGCGATTGCTGTTTAGGGTAGACAATGCAGAGAGTTAAATGCCTGCTAACCTTTTCAACCTCGCTCGCTGTGGACCCATGACGATAATAATACGATTATCCGGAAATACATCTGTTATACAGTTAATACAGACGATTCTGCCTTCTATGCATGACCTATGTTAACAAGCTTGATAGCATACTTTCAACTCTGGTGGTATACTTTACCCAGTCCTGCCGCGGAGGTACGGTGTGCCGAATTCGATGTGATCAGCTCCCTTGTTGAACCTTATTGGAATCGAGGGCCGATTTGACAGGTACGTAACATGCCGACACTCATATATTGGCATTATGCAGTGAACAGGACTTGATTGATAATCCCCCCGACCGAAGCAATGTTTGATAGATCTCCAAGCCAGGAAGCCATCAAGGCCTGCTTGTTTCAAGCACATTTCGCCACTGTTCGTCATGAAAACTTACCTTCTTCGGCCAGGCCAGCGGGAATAAGTACCTTTATACCTGACCTACCTGCAGGTCTCTACAAAGGGATATAGTGACCCCTTGCGGGAAGAGGATCCCTTAGGAGTGAGGAGATTTCCGTAAGTGGTAGCAGAGAAGCATGGTGTTCTTTTCATGAGTTCTGACATTCTCAACTCCACATGCTGTCAGGTGAAAAAATATGAGGACAAATTTTCAGAGTCAATCAATAGGATTGGCTGTTACTAGCCTCAGGAAACGGTCTTGACAAATATCATAGCTCAGCAATGTAACTATTGCGCCGATATCCGACGTTTCTCGATCAGGTCAATAACCCTAAAGACCTCTTTCACTCCATCGTCGTTCGAAGTCCTCGAATACCATCCCATAATGTGAGGGTAGGTATGACGCATCTCACGGTCGATAATAAACTTGAATCCCCAGTACAAGGTGCATGCCATGGATATATCCGCCAGGGTCAATCCAGAGTAGTTGTAAACCAAGTACGCCCCTTCAAACGGCTCTCCACAGCGTTAATCCCCCTTTCGAGCTTCTCCATGAATGTTACGATCTTCTAGTGAAGGTTCTTTCGGCGAAGTCGCCATAAAACCAACGGCTACATAGGCTCCACGTAATCATTGTTGGCCATGCAGATCGACTGACGTATAAGGGCCCGCTCAGTAGCACCGTGGCTAAGAAGCTGGTCCCGAAAGGGCCCAGATTCGGAAATATACCGAGTCAGTTCATCGGGCCCGAAGATATCAAGGCCGTCAGCTCCTCGAAATGCCGGAATGTTGCCCATGGCATCGTCAGCGAGAAACTTTGGAGCCTCCTTATCCCACGGAGTATAAAGCCTTTGATTTCTTCTTGCTCTATCCGAATGAGTTTTCTGCAGCGATGATCTGGGCGAGAAAGGGTTAGAGGGAGTTCAAAGGCAGTTTAATAGGTGCACACAGCTTAATAGCCCTATAAAAGGGCATGAAGACGAACATGCAGAGGAGATCACATGGTTCCATTTTTGGGTAGGGTTTGACTGTCTAGAGCTTGACGATAGGGCAGTAGCAGTGAGAATAATTACGAGGCGATGTGATGGTAGGTATAACCACTTCCATCCAATCAAGCTTCAGCCAGCTTCAATGCCTGCATACCACTGTAATATATGTGGGCCCTCTTGTGTATTCCCTGGTTTGTCATTGGTAGAGTCTATATTGCTCAGGATCATACCCCGATGCGAGACACTTTTCAGCTTGATTCTCGAAGGCTACTGAAGATTGCTTTATCCGTCTCTCTGCAGAAGTGGAGCTGCCTGGATAGTCAAACGGTGCATTACAGCTGACGCCAAAATATACTTTGTTGAAGGAGGACTGAATCAAATTGCTGGAACCTAAGTTTTCTAGATACAGCATTGTGCATTCCCGGAAACCAGACTTCTGATCACTCAATCTTTTGCCACCTCAGTACTATTCTTTGGGCAATTCCCTGTTTAGTTTTCCCGCGAAAGTCAGCTCCATTCGAATTCATACGTGACAAGAGGGCTTACCTCAACATTCAAAGGAGCTGGCGATGATAGCACGAGCTGATTCTCAAAGAGTTCCACCTTCCGTGACTGATACGAGCCATCTTCTTCAGGCCAGGAACTGAGCTCAAGGTGATGTTTCACCATGATGCTGCCGTCGGGCTGCGTCTCAACCGAGTATCGGCCAGTGTATGCCAAAAGGTCATTTACGGTTTCCTTGACTTTCTTGGTGACTGCGGGTTGCAGTTGGACGGACATGCGGCCGTTCGGGCTGTAGTTTATGATACCACGAGCGTCTTTTCCCATAGGAAAGATTTCGCCGCCATCCTGGAGCTGGGATCGAAAGTCAAGTAGGGACCAAGAACCAAGTAAAGCTTGCTCAATGTTATGTTGCGATCCCATACTGAACGTGAAGGGTCGATTTCCTGTATGGAGAAGGCGGTAGCAACTCCCTGCATTGACGATAAAATAACGTCTGGCAACAACGAGGAAGAAGATACTGAATTCCGGAACGCAAAGGCTCTTTGTATTGGCTCATGGATTCGATAGTGTCTTGTTCCCTAATTGGGTCATCTGCATAAATAGGAACCTTCATTCCTGATGTGCCGCTTTGCAACCAAAAGCACGGTACCCATATCCAGTAATTCATCTACCTCGAAATGCGCCAAGCCCACTTTACTGCAGCTCAACGGCATGGACTAGCCTCCGGAGAAGATCAACGATACGACTGGTTATCCCTTGCTCCCAAGGGATGCTGTGCCCCCCTTTATGCTCCAGCACCTCCCTGTCGGAGGACTGACACATTTCGACTAGGTTTCGGGATTGTGGATAGTACCCATCATTTCTACCATAGACGTGTACTGTTGGTAGTGGTATCTCAATCGAGCCGTCAGACGGGTATGGTCGGATCATAGACTTTCCTTGAGAGGGAAACTTTTTTCGATCCAAGAGATCAGGAATATTCGCTGCTATTTCCGCCGTGACATCTTCACCTGTGACTTCATCTCTGAAGGTTCCGTCATCCATCGATCGGAATGTGGCCGATTCCACGTTGAATGGCGCCGTAGCACAGAAAAAGACGGCGCACTTGAATGGTAGATGCGTGTCCTGATTCCTGAGAAGATAGGAAGCAGCCACAGCGGCTCCTTGTGAAAAGCCAAAGATGCCATCGAAAGGTCCATCATCTTCTAAGGCCTGATCAATGAGCTCAAAGGCGTCGTACATCTGAGACGCAATAGGGAGGTTGAAGAACGAAAAGTACGGCCCTTCGGCGAGTCCATACACGCCTGTGCAAAGATGAGCTTTGTTTGTGCTATACAGGCTTGTGAGCCTACCTGGTCCGGCCTCAGATGGGATATCGCCATCGACAAAGACAAACTCGTGCTGTGACCCTAGAGCCGCCTGGATCGCGGATAGTTGGGTGTTGAACACTTCGGCGTTTGAGCCGATTCCGTGGAGGCAGAGAAAGCGCATGTCTTCTTGAAAGGTCGCTCACTTTAGGGAGTGTGTAATCGGAGAAGGGAAATGCTGTTAAGATGGTATGGTGGACCAGTCTGAATCATCAAATGGAATATGCTGCTACGGTCTCCATACAGAGGAACGGGAATATGCTCCGATTGATATTCATGACGTGATGTCAGCTAGGGACACCTGAGAGTAAATGATGTGGAATGTTGACAAAGTTTCAAGGCAGATCATTAGTATCTCAACAATGCAATCATACCTTTGTGGCAAGGTGCATGAGGTGGGGCGCCAAATAGAGAGATATCGTTGACGATCCATGCAAGATGCCGTGCCCTTTCTTCAGATAGGTACATCAGTGGGCCGACCTAGAAACCTGACTCCTGAGCTAGATTTGCGTTCTGGCCATTCTTTAATACGTCAATCTGCATCGAGCGGAGATGTATGACTAGATCGTAGATTGATCTCTTGCTTATAGTCCAATGACTGCCACTGACGGTGTGGAGATCATACCTTTTTGTATTGTTCAGTAAGTTTCAATGACAAACTGCCCTGGAACAATACCAGGCTGGAACGCGTCTAGATAATTGTTGAAGGGTCAGGCTGCTCCCCGGGAGACTAATGTACATGAAAAGAAAAGAAATCTCAGCACTAAATCTACTTATACTCTATCTACCAACTCTCCAATAACTGTAGTAAGTTGGAATCTTTCAAGCTTATACCTGAAAAACGCAAACATCTGCATCATCCTTCCAGCACAAATCCACCATGCCAGGTACACAAGACAGTCCAGTTATGCCCATTGCCATTGTTGGCATTGGGGGCCGATTCCCAGGGGACGCATCGAATCCAGATCGGCTTTGGGAACTCCTCCTGAACGCGAAAAGCACGCTCTCGGAGACGCCTGAAGATCGATTCAGTGCAGATGCATTCTACCACCCGCAGCCTGATCGCCCAGGAACTTCAAACTCGTGTGGTGGCCACTTCATGAACCAAAATATCGAAGAATTTGATGCGCCGTTCTTCTCTATCACCCCTTCCGAGGCGAGAGCCATGGATCCCCAGCAGCGAATGTGCCTGGAAGTTGCATACGAGGCTATGGAAAATGGTTTGTTTTCTTCAGCCATAAAGCCTTTCCCCAATTCTGACTCTAAGCAGCGGGTATTACTATGGATCGTATCTCCGGATCTCGCACCTCTTGCTACGTCGGGTGCTTCAACCATGATTACCAGCTCCTCCAGAACTTGGATCTCGATAGCCTTCCATTTTATCACGCAACAGGGACCGAGTCATCATGTCTCTCAAATCGTGTCTCGTGGTTCTTCAATTTGGCTGGCCCAAGCATGACAGTTGATACAGCATGTTCTTCGTCTCTCATAGCACTCCATCTTGCCTGCCAGAGTATTCGGCTGGGTGAATCAGAGACGGTACGTAGTTTGGAGTTGAGATCCACAGAGGTTGTCGCTGACTGAACCAGGCGCTTGTGGGTGGTGTTAACATCATCTCGTTCCCAGAGATTTACATGAAGCTTTCCAACCTGCAGATGGTCTCCCCGGATAGCAAGTCGCAGACCTTCGATGAGAAGGCTAATGGCTACGGTCGTGGGGAGGGTACCTGTTTTGTGGTGCTCAAACCACTAGATAAAGCCATCGAAGACAACGATGTCATTCGTGCAGTGATCCGCAATACCGGAAGTAACGAGGATGGGAATACACCCGGCCTGACACTTCCATCAAAGAACATGCAGAAAGCCCTGATCGAAAAGGTGTACGAAGAGGCAGGATTGCAAATGAGAGACACAGGGTATTTTGAAGCACATGTAAGTTGCTACTATTTCTAAGCCTGCTCGAGAACACCGTGTTAATAATCGGCAGGGTACTGGAACAGTCGCAGGGGATTCAATCGAGACCCAAGCCTTGGGAGAGACCATTGGAAAATTGAGACCGCCAGGTCAGCCACTCTGGGTGGGATCGTTAAAGGCAAACATCGGTCATCTCGAAGGCGGCAGCGGTCTCGCATCGCTTATAAAGACTGTCTATGTTCTTGAAAAAGGCGTCATTCCGCCTCAAATCTGGCTGGACAAACTCAATCCCCGTATTCGCGCCGAAGAATGGAACTTAGCCGTGCCTACAGAAGTAATTCCGTGGCCGGACCAAGGCCCACGGAGAGCTAGTGTAAACTCGTTCGGGTTTGCTGGTGCGAATGCACACGTTATCTTGGAAGATGCTTGCTCCTATTTTGAGGCAAATGTTGGCAGGGGCCGTCACAATTCCAAAGTACCCGCGAAACTTGCCGAAAACCCTGACCTGTGTCGTGACAAGCATGATGCAAATAGCCTCACTTTATCGCGAGATACACATGGCCATGTGCAACCGTTTCCGAAGTTGATTTTGTGGTCGGCCCACGAGCAAGGCGGGCTGAAACGGATTTCGGAGTCATGGAAAGAATTTCTCGGTGAAAGGTCGGGCATGCTCACGCAAGTCGAGCGGGCGAAACTGCTGTCGGACTTGGCGTATACAGCAGTAAAGCGGCGCACCCAGTTTCCCTGGAGGTCGTTCACTGTTTGCTCGGATCCAGGAGAGATTGCGAGCGGTGAGGTTGATATAGCCCCTGCTGTCCGGTCATCGCAGCGGCCCAGGCTTGCCCTCGTTTTCACTGGTCAGGGCGCGCAGCACCATGCGATGGGTCGCCGATTAATGCACTACGATGTATATGCCAATAGTATGAGAACTGCCGACCAATATTTGAAGTCTCTGGGCTGCCCGTGGTCACTTGTGGAAGAGCTCTCTCGTGACGCAGAATCTTCCAGGATAAATCCTCCTGAATTCAGTCAACCTCTTTGCATTGCATTGCAAGTGGCGATGGTTGACCTCCTGAAAAGCTGGGACATATGGCCCCCTGAAGCGGTGATTGGTCATTCTGGTGGAGAAACAGCCGCTGCTTATGCAAAGGGTGCCCTAACCCGAGAGGCAGCCTGGACAGTGGCATATTATCGCGGTCAGGTGTGCTCGATGGCACCAGACGTTGACCCAGACCATCCCCTTGATGGTGATATGTTAGCAGCTGCTATTAGTGAGCAGGAGGCTCAGTCTTATATTCAACAGGTGTCCTCTGGAAAGCTTGTCGTTGCCTGTGTCAACAGTCCGAACAGTGTTACCCTGTCTGGTGACGTTCCTGCGATTATCGATGCTGCGAAGCTCATAAAATCCGATGGTCATCTAGCAAAGAAGCTTGGGGTAAATCGAGCTTATCATTCAGCACATATGAAGGTGGTCGAGGACATGTACCGAGACCTTCTGAAAGATGTGCATGGTCTTCCAGAGACACCGGATTCACCGAAGATGTTTTCGTGTGTGACAGGAGCATCAATTGACAACTGTGACTTGGGTGGAAATTACTGGGTGACAAACCTCATAAACCAGGTTAAATTCTCTCAAGCAATGCAAGCACTGATCAACCATTCGGACAGTCGGAGATCGAAGCGCCCGAAGGGGTACTCCTATGTCAACCTCATGCTTGAGATCGGCCCTCACGGTGCCCTCCAAGGCCCGGTGAAACAAAACTTAAAGGCAATGCAGGTAGATTGTACTAGCGTATCTGCCTTGGATCGGAACAAGGATGCAGCACAAAGTCTCCTAGAGGCGATTGGTGTTCTTTTCCAGCATGGGTACGATTCTAATATTATTGCCGCAAATACCCCTGATCCAAACGAAACAACTCAGCTTCTTGTCGACTTGCCACCCTATCCGTGGAATCATTCTAATCGATATTGGCACGAATCAGCTGTAGCCAGTGCATACCGGTTCAAGAAATTCCCTAGGAAGGACCTCCTTGGAATCAGGGACAATGAGGGTAACAACGCCCATGCACGCTGGCGTCATTTCCTCCGCCCTTCCGAAAATCCCTGGATTGAAGATCATCAGGTGCAGGGTAAAGTGATTTATCCCGCCGCCGGAATGCTTGTCATGGCATTGGAAGCCGCGAGAGAAACGGCAGACCCCGACAAGGCGATAAAGGCGTACGAGATACGTGATGTGTCTATCAAAAACGCCATTATTATTCCCAAGGGAGAAGATGAAGCAGAAACGATGGTACATTTTCACCGAAAATCCTCGGTCTGGCAAGAATTTTCGATATATTCCCGTGTTGGCCACAATCCCTGGTCACAAAACTGCACTGGCGTCCTGCGGGTACAGTATAAGGTCAATCAGGACATGGGGTCATTCACGAATGAAGAAGAGAAGATAACCATATTGTATCGGTCAGAATATGAGCAAGTACAAAAGAGATGCTCTCGGTCCATGTCCTCTGAGAACTTTTATGCAGAACAATCTGAACTAGATCTCCGGTTCGGCGAGACGTTTCAGAACGTCAGCAACATCCGATTGAACCAGGGAGAAATGGTTTTCGATGTTCAAACACCAGATGTAAGGAGCAAGATGCCGCAAAACTTCACTCATGACCACTTGGTGCATCCCTGTACTCTCGATCCGGTTATCCATGCTTCACTTGCCATATTAAATCACGGAGAAGGAGAAAAGGGACCAGCAATTCCCACATCCATCGGTAGACTGGTTATATCCGCGGGTATTTCGGCTGGCCCGGGCACGGTCCTCAAGGCACACTCTTCAGCGACACGACATGGCCTCAGAGATGCAGAATTGAACATTCGGGCGTTCTCTGAGGACAGGGAAAAGCCTCTTATAATCCTGGACAGAATCAAAGTCACTCGCCTAGGAGGCGGTGTCAGCTCTGAGGGTCAAGATGGTCTGGACACAGCCCAGAAGAGAATTGCAAGTGAGATACACTGGGAACAAGATGCTTTGCATCTGAAGAGCCAGGGACTTCGCAAACTGGATTTGCCAAACCCTGCAGCGGATGGTCCAGACAAAATGGGACCTTTGGAATCATTTATCAGACTTCTCGGACACAAATTTTCTGATTTGAAAATTCTAGAGATAGGTGCCGGAGATGGCAATGTAACAGAGAGGCTTCTTGATGCGCTTGAGGGG